TGAATTGGTAATTCTGAGAAAAGTTAATTCTAATGCTTTGAATTGACCAGTAAAAGTGAACGGACCAAAGGTAAATACTATAAATAAGGAGAAAAGTTGTACCTGAGAAGATTATAATGGTTAGGGAGAAATGATTATGAAGAAGAGGAGGAGACAAAGGGGAGAGAGAGAGAGAGAGTGATTGGTGACCAGTGAATGTTAAGGGCCAGGGAACAAAGAAAATGGGTGATCAATAATATTATCATCTTTATCATATTTACGATGATTTAAGGTGTGGTTTGCGAAAACGAGAAAATTTAAGAAAAAAACTGAAAGCAGCCTAGAAAATCAAATAGACTTGCCAATTAACTTATTTCGCTTGGACAATTATAGACCATTGTCTTTGATGATCATCTTCATTGATGATTTGGTCAGAGTTTGGGTCACCCAAGCAAGAAAAAAACATTATCGTTACAAGGTAAAAACTACAAGTCTAGTTTTCAACTAACAACAAGATTAACGTTAAGGAACCATGAACATCTCTGGGTAAGCCAAAAATCTCACCATAGGTGTGTAACTAAAAGGTAGAAGGTAAAATTTAAGCCTTAGGCTTTTTAAAGCTGAAAAAGTTTATGGTAATGAAGATTATCAACATTATCATTAAAATGATAATGTTGATGGTCAAGAACCTAAAACAAATTATAAAATTTGATCAATGAGCAAATGAGAAAAGTTATTAAATATAAACAGATTCAGTCTGAGTTAAAGGCGAGGTCATGATATTGGATTACAATTCTTACTTTTGATTAGATTTGATAAACACTAACCATTGATGTCAATTGATATAATCGTCTATCAATTTGATCCTATTTAAAGATTCAATTGTTTAATCAAATTAACTAATCAAGATGATTTCCAATTATTTGATAAAGTTCATTGACAATTGAATTGAATAACATGTAAACTTTACATGGAATATGAATGTAAATATTTTAAGTTGATTTTCAATGAAAAAAGTGAAAATTTTTTTTCTTTTCGGATTCAAGTTAATTCTGAGAATTGATTAACTATTGTATTATCATGATGATATAATGGATAATTTAAGGAATTAAATTAAAGTTTCTTTCATTGTTACTTTTAATAATAATGAATTAATCATGACAACAGAATGTAAACAATTAGATTCAATTTGATTTTTAAATTGCAAATTGTTGATTCTTAAATTGTTTCCGTTGTGTCGGGTTAGCAACTTTCGGGTTAACTTTTTACCAAGAATTTTTCTTTCACTTTCTAGTTGTTGACTCACAATTTACCAATCAGATTAACTTGCCTGAGGGTAGAAATTCATTATACTTTATATAATCTCGGGTCAAAATAAGATGACCCTTGAAAAATGACTCTCACCTGAAGTAATCACGTTACAAAATCTTGTTGGTTAACCAGAAAGTTAAACAACAATTTAAATCTTTATTATATCTAAGGTACATTATTAAAAATACTTGAAAATTATATTTCTATATAAGATTATATCTAATCAAGTGTATCAATCTGATCCATTGGTCAATTGGTCAGTTTTAAAGAGGAAAAACTCTCTGTTGATGAAGAAACAAAAATTATCAAATTGTATCTTAAAAATTGATCTTTCAATGGTAATCATTAGGTGTTAACCCAGGTTAATATCATTAATGGCTGATGATAATCAGTTAATCACTTGAAGAATGTATTCAAAACATGGTATTATTATTATTCATTATTTTTGATAAGGCATGATGATGATAATGATGTTGTTGTTGATTGTTGATGGTGATGGAAGTGATTAAAGATTATCGATGAAGGAAGGAAGATGAAGATGAAAGGAATTGATTCTTATTCCCCTTTCTTACAGATAATTCTGATGTTAGTGATCTTGATCGTGATTTAAATGAATCATGAATGTGGTTTTACATTTCCTACCTTCAATATTAACCTGTTGCTTAATCATTATCATCAATTCATCACTAATTCATGATCATCTACATCATGATCAGGATAATATTGGCTAAGTTAGGATATATAATAATAATACAATTTCATCTTCACTTAATCAACTAATTGTATCTCATTTAAACATAAAGTAGAGTGTTGAAAGATTATTAATCAAATTATCCAATACAATTTTTGTTGTGCTAATTGATTGTTGAAACTTAAACAATTGTTTAATTGATTAATCAATTAAATTGGACTCTTAAAAAGTAACCTTAATGTTTAGATATACATATATATTTTTTTTTCATCATTTGTGAACATTGTATCCGGTTGATTGTTATTAAAATAATCTTAATTGTGGATAAAGGCTAAAGATTATCTTGATTAGAGGATGATTATAATGGGTTACCTCAAATTTAAGGTAAAAGTTAGAGATTTAAACTAGAATAATGATAATCAGATAATGATGTTACAGTTAATGATAATAATGGTTAATATACTAAATCATGTTGGTAATATAATGAATAAATTGTCTCGTAATGATCAAGAAAAGATTAGCTTCATTTTAATTAGCTTGAGAAATAATAACAAAACACCATAATAGTTTAGGCTAATAAAAGGTTAATGTTAATCATGATCATCAACATTGTTTGATTAAATGAATTATATTTAAGGTACACACACAAAAGGTAAATCAAGAGTATTCATATTAAGTTACTCATTGTGTTTGAATTTGGAAAACTAAATATAAATAGAATACATAACAATATGAAAACTAAATTATCTTGAGCTGTTCTGTGTTATTTTAATAGGAAATCATCATTTATATGATGAAACATTTTGAATCAGTAACTTTTAGTACAGAAAAAAAAATTAGATCAACAGGTAAGTTGAAAAAGTAATCAGTCAACAATAGGTAAACTTGATAAGAGTAATCGTTAGTTAATTGAAGCTTAATTATTTTCTTGGTAATAATCATCATTTATCGAGTATTAAACCTAGAGATGAAAAATTCTAGATTTTTTGATGAGCATAACAATTGGACTTTAGGGTTTGGACATAGGATTATCTTTTCTATCATCTTCAGGTAGAAATAAACGTTGTTGTAATTACAACAACAGTACAATTACACAAAAGACTTAAAGTTGAAGGTGAAAGAGAGAGAGAGAGAGAGAGAGAGATCTAAAAAACAAGGTAAGAAAAGGTAGACACACAAAAAGCAAGGGAGATTGTTGTTGGGGGTGGAATACCTTTAACACGAGTTAAACATATTCGTTATATATAAATTAGTGCTGGATGTTAATCTTGTTGTGGATCATCTTGTTATTTTTTGAGGATAAGGCTAAACTCAAAGGTTATAATTATCTAACCGACCCAAGGAAGATCGATTATCTGAAAAAAAGAGAGGGAAAGAAAGAGGAACAAAGAGATTCTAGGAAACTTGATAGGAGCTCCAAGGAAAAATAGTGGTCACTAAAATGGACTTTATAATGTAGACCATCAATGGTCACTCAATCGCGTAGTTATAGTTACTAGGATACAATAATTAAATTGGTTATTTCGTAGAGAAATTGCAATCAACTCAACCTGAATTATAATATCATCATCATACTATCCTTCATCTTCATCTTCATCTTCATAATAACTTTTTCTTTGTAGTAAGTAAACAGAAAAGCAACACATAAACAAGTCAATAAATGATGATCAAAAATGAAGATCTTTTCTTTGGAGAAAAAAATACCTTCTTGGGAAAATGTTCCATTAAACAGGTATCTCCCTCATCATCCTCATCATCATCATAATCACCATCATCTTATTTAGGTACAAGAAGTATATGTAAGGTCAATGGTTTACATGAAACACAAATCAAATGATTGGTGTTTGAAGTTTGAAGGTTAAATAAGGTAAATGGATTTGTTGATTTATATATTGTTACCTTTGTAATATTAACGAGAAAGTTGATTGTTGATCATTTTGATAACCAGGATGAAGGTGATACAGAAAATGTTGATGGTTAATTGTTGCGTCATTGCAATTTAGATGAAAATTACAATTTCTCTTGATCATAATTAATGTTTCATTTTATATATTATCATCATTTGTTATTGTTGTTGTTAACTAAAATTCATATTAATTATCATGTCTAAATGATTGTTATTGTTATTATAAGAATCATGTGAATAGAATATCAATAAAGTATTAATCAAATTTGATTAAAATGATAGAATGATTCTAATGATTTGATTTGATTCAATTGTTTGTAAAACTTTGTTATCATAAGAAAAAATCAATTCAATTAACTACAATAAGTTAATTGCTGGTGAAAGGTAAAAGAAACTTGTTAACCTTAACTACACAATTAGTTAATTGTTTCAACTTTAGTTTACAATTAACTAATTTTCAAAGAATCAGTAAATTTTTATCATTAGAAAATCGAACCTTAAATTTTGATAATAATCAACGACAAAGTACAATTTCAATTTCGACAATTAATCAAGTGAGATGATAAACAATTAATGGAATAATAATAAATCGTCATCTCGAATAAGGATAAACATGAAATTAGAAATGGTCAATTTGATTGTGGAAATTTGGTCCCAGTGAAAAGAAACAATCAAATCAAATACTATAATTAAATGACAATAACGAAGAAGAAGAAAAAAATAACAGACAAATAAGAAGACGAAGAAAAGAAAACCGATAATCAGGTAAATGTAAATTTCCATTGGTAAGAGAGTATAAGGTAAATATTTTAGTTCTCTTTCTCCTCTTACATTTCTTACCTTGAATTTTTCTCTTCTTCTTCTCTAACCTTGTCTTTAACCTCGCAACCTCTTCTCTTTCAACTTCTCTTTCTTTATTTTCTTCTTCTTATTTTCTTTCTTTCTCTTTCTTTTCGGCTCTCTGGTATTTCTTTTCTATTCACCATTTACCTTTTATAACATTTTTACACTTTCTTGAGAAGAGAAAAAGAAAACGAAAACAAAGCAAATAATCAAATGGAGATGTTGACATGGGAAACATTTGGGCAAAGAGAATAGAAATTTGGTTCTTACCTGATTCTGGTAGACATTGGATTAATTGTAGAAAAAATAGATTGACAAATAGGTGAAAAAAGTGATTAGTTAATAACGAATACTTTGTATTCCTTTGTTTATTCCCGGGAAACCACATCTTTGAACAAAAATGGCCACTCAAAGTGTAACACAAATAAATGTTGTTGATGTTAATCCTTTTTCTATCACATCTAATCACAAGAAAATGTCACACTAATCACATTAATCCATAAAGAAGAAAATTAATTAATCCAAAAAAGTTCAAATTGTATTGATGAGAAAATAAAACGAAAGTTTCACTTAACTTAGAGTAACTACAAAGTACAACCGGAGAGCAACAAGTTGTTTCTTCAACTCAACAAGTCAAAAAGAGAAGAAAAATTTTTTCTAAAGAGAATTTTCTCCATTTCCACTCTGCTGCCATCTAACGTTTTCTATTCCAAACAACATGAATATTGAATATTTTTTATCTTTTTTTTGTTCTTTACGAATTACAAGTGACTATGGATGTTAATCTGAAAGCACTTGCGATCGATGGAACCAGTGTTAGATTATCGTGGAGAAATTTAGATCAACAAGAAAAATCTCTGATCGATGGAATAACAATTAAATATCGTTTGACCAGTGATCCTTTCGATAAATGGACAGTTACTCCGATGATTCACCGAGATGTAAACGAATACACGTTACGTGACCTGCGAAGTGGAGCAACTTACGTTAAATTATCAAATGTAATTCCAGAGAATCGAGATGATGATCCTTCAGGTAAATTTTTCAACTCAAAAAATAATATCAATGAATATCAACAACGAAAGATGAACAATTTTCTAATTTTATCTTTAATAATTTCTATTCCATTACAAAATAGCCAATGAAGCCGAAGCTCTCAAAGAAAGCAGCACCGGTGACGCAATTAAGCCTTATTACATCGCGCTAATGATTGTCGCTGTTTTCGCCATAATAACGGGCATCGGATTCGTTACCTTACTTTGTGTCCTAATGAAAACCAAAACTTGTGCCAAAGCAGCAATTACAAGAGCTTCTTCAGAAGCAGCTAAAATGCTCCTCGCCAAAAATTATAGTTAATAGAACTTTTTCTCAATTCGCCACAGTCGAAGTTTGGGTTAAAATAATTCGGCAATAAGAAAGCGTGTTGTTGAGCGTATTTCAATTTCGGTTCCGTTTGACACAAAGAGCAGCCAAAGATACTTTGTTTTTAATCTCAAGCAATTGAGCTAAATATATATACAAGAAAAAAAGTTAACCATTTAGAACTGAATGTTTCGTTATCATTAATTATCTTTACCTGTAGTAAATGAACCGGCCTGATCCTTGTGAGAGTAAAAGTATCGATCGCCAAATTTAAGATGATAAAATTGTATACCAACTATACAAGCAAAGGTCGGTCCAATATCGGCATCAGTCGCCTTCTTTTCATATAAACCACCGGTGAACAAATCAATATCTCGGAAATCTCTGTAATTATTATTTTTCATCAGAATAAAAATTTCTTCAATTTCTATTGGATAACTTACTGATAAAAATTTCTAAGTTTTTGTACATTTTCTCTTGGCATCAAGTTAACTAAATCATTCCAACTTCTAATTGTGTAACCAAAACAGAACTTGACATATTCAGTGTAAGGAGCGATTCCATGATCTCTACCTCTTTGAATATTGAACGCAGCTAAATCACTTCCAAACGCATCTTGTCCAGAATGAAAATAGAGATAATTTTTCAATGATGATGTCAAGAACGGATCAATTACCGCTGATTTGCCGTTCAGAAAAGTTGCAATCAAATTCGGAGTCTAATTTGTTAGATTAAAGAAGAAACCAAATGTTATCAACTAGAGATAATGAAGAAAATATCAAATACTCACCAAGCCCGAATGGATCAACTTTGGATCAAAGAACGAATCTTTAAGAGAAAGTTTCGCATCCGATTGAACAATCGCCATGAATGAGGTTACCTGTGAATGGCCGAACCTACAGGCCGCAGCGGCACATTCATTCCAAGTAGTTGCATCAATATCTTGTTCGTATTCTGAAAACAAAGTGTCCTTTTCGATGATGTTAAAATAATCGCTCATTTCTGATCCAAGAAGAACTGGTAGATATTCATTGTAAGTGATATGTTGAAGTTCAGCGATAGTTAAACGACGAGCTTCTTGGAAAAGTATCTCATCTGATGCTCGAGGATTAACTCGTGCTAATCCTGAAGCATGTTGATTGTGTCGACGGACGAAAATTAAATGTATCATTTGGATAAAAGGTTGTTGGTTAACTCGAAAATCACCTGAACCGAAACAAACTTTATCTTTTCCCAAGGCTGGTTTACTACATTGATCGGTAAGAGGAGATTTACTATCCGGAAGGATTGGCCTATTGAAACGATCTCTACCTGTCTTCATAAGACCACTTCTAAAGGTGCGTAGTGACGCAACGGTTTGGTTGTCTCCTCCATACATGGCACTTTGATCGATATAAGAAGAGGCCAAATTTGTTTGCTGCCTTGGACCCAATGAGCAAAGTGGACAAGGAGCTGATCGGATGAAATTGATACACTTTCTGGACGATGCTTGTAAATCTTCATTGGATAACATGATTGGCATACACTTGGATTCATCATGAATTCCTGGGGAGCAACACTGAACTCCTGACCCATGACTTGGGACACTTTGTGGGGTTGACATAATATCATGGATAACATATTGACCCCAAGTAAAATGCCAGGGAGTGTAATAGGTTTCGCCCTCGCCAGACTCGTGGAGACCCAATGAAATCGTACGTGGTGATGGTAAAGGTTGACCAGAAACTCCCCGCGATCGAGGTAAATAAATACCATCCTCATAATATGGAGGTAAAAATCTTACATGGCAAATGTTAGATTTACCCCAAAATGTCTGCCTCAAGTTGTTACAAAATCCATCGTAAGCTCGATATCTTGAATTTTTACATCTTGTTCCAGTGCTATTACCTGCGAAGTTACCATGGTTCCGAGAACATTTCAAAAACTTGGATTGTAACGATGAAATTGGAACTTTAGTCAATTTTTCAATCACATCAACTGGTCGAATACACATTCTAAATGAGAGAAATTCAATCAAGAGGAGAAGAAAAAATCAAATCTTAATTTTCCAATAGATTTCAATGAAGATCTCATAACCAACAAATCTGAATACAAATCGATATACACGTGAATGTATTAATAGATCTGATTCAACTCGAAATTAAGAAATTTATTCATTTAGCTTATCATCTTACTATAACTTCATTGTTATCATCAATCGTACTGTTCGAGATTTAGACTTACCTTTCTTGCAGATTTTTAGCAACGTATTCAAGGTATTGAGCTTCTTCTTGATCAATATAATCTTTAATTTCTTCAGGTAGTTTACCTGTTATCAAATGACGACCATCGGCAGAGATGATATTTGAGGCAATGATATTACCCGATTTAGCATTTTCAAGAGCTTCGGCGATTTCTTTGTCTACTCTTTCAGTGGCCGCTTTAACGGCAGCAACTATGAAAGATGGCTTAATTTCACTGTTGTATTGTTGGTTTGATGATCTACACCTAGCACTCAATTCGCCCAGGTAATCATGGTGAAATGCTCTAACGTGAAACTTTTCAAGTAGTGATGAATTTGATTTCCAATATAGTTCACTTTGATCGTAATACAATTTTGATTTAATTCCTGATCTCACTTTGTAAGATGATTGTTTGGTGGGTGTTGATCTTTTCCTGATGTTAATAGGAACATGTCTGGTAACGGGATCATCACTCGAACGAGTTCGAACTGTCGGCTCTAAGGGTAATTTCTTGTGATTTCCAATGAGCGTCTTCACACTCACTTCAGTAATGTTCAACGAAAGATTTTTATTCACGTCATTGGCACTGATAAAAGCACTTCGAGTTGATTCATTCTGTTCAAGTGGTTGTGAAAATGAAGAAACTTCCTCTTTGAGGCTACTTTCATTTTCAGAATGTCCATTGATTAGTAAATTGTTGCTCATCAGCACGAGAAGAGCGATGGTAATTCTAAGTGAAATACTAAAATTTTATCAATGAATTACTACAAATTGATTGTTCACTTAATTAAATCACATTTTCAATAGTCAATTCATTACATTTACTTACCCAATGAACTTCATTATTTCAAAAGGTCCTAGTGGTCAAGATAATTAATCCAATCAATCTTGTCTTTATTCACAATTAAAATCCATGATAGAAAAATTTAATCAAACTGAACCTTTAACTTGTAAACAACAATCAATTGTAATTACATTTTTTTTGTAGTTAATTGTGACGATTAGAAAACAAATTATGCAAACTAACATTTAATTTTCCTTCTCAAGTGTCTTCATTGAAAAGATGAAGGTAAATTGTGATTATAATTGTTACAATTTATCACCGATGAAACAAAAATTAAATTATTTGATTAACTTTATCCTCACTTTTTTTTCTGATTAAATCAACATAATCAGATTGAGTTTATTTAATTGATAACAATCAAGAGTAGCAACAAATGAACAATTTAATATTAACCATGTTGATGTAACTTTTTAACTTGATTCACTAACACAAATTAAACTTAATTGTGACACTCAAATTTAATTTTGATTATAAAATGATGAGAGAGTAGTGAAAGTTGATCATCTTGATTAGCGATTATCAAATTGCTGCAAAGATTTATTCTGGTTTGACCAGCAATTAATTGATTTCACTTTGGCCTCAAAAAATTAACATGATTCATGTAAAGATAATCATGATAATTGTCACAATCAGCATCCTCCTAATCATCATCGTAATCATAATTATTTGATGACTAGAAATCAATGTCATCATTGACACTCTGACCTGATTTAATTTGATTACTTTGTTTTTTGATTTGTTTTGTTTTCTTCATTGATTAAGATTAACAACTTCCTAATCATTATAAACTATTAATTCAAATTTAATTGACCAAAAATTAGTTCAACTTAAATCATTACTTTAACTTATTAATATTTCTGTTAATTGTTAAGGTTGGTCAGTTTTTAATTTCCATCTTAATTACTGTTATTAATATGCCTCTTTTTTCAATGGAAAAATTATCAAATTAATTGTTACTTTTTGATTGACATTTACATTTAATTGTTAATCTTTAATTTTAAAAAGCTAAAAATTGAATAATCTGATAATTTGGTTTAATTGTTGTTACTTTATCTTCACCATTGACCTTAAATCAACTGATTTAGTTTATCCAGTTTTCTTGATCACAATTAAAAAGTGATAAATGATTTTCTTGTTTTATTTTTAATCAAGCATTACCAAAGAAGTGTAACAATTTGATTAAATCACGTTCACAATCAAAATTAACGAAATCAATTATATAGATAATCATCAAAATCCAACACTTACAATTAATGTAACAAAATGGTTTCGATTTAATTTGAAACTTTTCGAAACTTTTCGAAAAGTAAAATTCGAGTTTTTCCCTTTATTTTCTGTACTTCGATAATCTTAATCATCATCAAATTGATTCTCGAAAAAGTTTTGTTAAACATTCGACTAAATAATCCCAATCATTAATAACCAAAAATCTCTTAATATGATCTATTATTTAATCCGATTGATTATCGTCACCATAAGTTGAAAAAACGATTTGATCTCTTATTTATACGTTGAAGTTTAAACACTAATCAGAAATTGACAATTCAATTAACTCGAATAATTGAATTTCAAACAAATGATTAAGAATTACAATTATTTTAGAATCTCGATTGATTTAAGAGAAAAAAATTTCTATTTATTAAAGGCCCTGAGGCTAATGTTTTATGCATTCGACTCCATTTAGAGATCCTTTTGGACACTGAACTGGTCGTTCAGTTTATTTAATTTCTCATCGATTGTCATTGAAATCGCTTTTAATTCAACGAAACATAACAATTTACTCACAATCAGTTTCTTAGGGTAACGATTGGAAACAAGCATTCGTCTTGTGGGCGAAATGTTGGACATTTTGACACTTTTTTACATCGTACGAAAGCTCAGATGATACGTAATAAATTCGATTGCTGGAAATTGATTTAGATTCTTTAATTTCACAATAGAAATTGTTAATTGAGGAGAGAATAAGATAAACGTCCATTCTTTCAATTTCTTACATTTTTCTTTTCGCTAGTTGACTTAATTCGCTAATAGATGGCAACACATTCGTTTCTTTATTTTTTTCTTTTTTTCTCTTCATCACTTTTTCCTTTTCGTTCGTCATCTTTCCTCTTTCATCTCTTTCAACTTTCGCATCTTCTTTTCATCATCTTCCATCTTCCAGTTAAGATCAATTTTCTAATTTAAGAAATTCCCTCATTCACCAAGGGCCAAGAAAGAAACTGAAATCATCAGGAACTTCCGAAGCCTCGAAAACCATTTCATGATCTTCACGAATCTTCACCAAGCAAAGAGTTCACTTGATCTGTTCAACTCAGTTTACCGCTGATCATCATCTCTCTTTTACTCTTTGACAGTTATCATCATCATCATCACTCTCTCAATCCAGTAATCATCACCTCCATCAACCAATCTAGTCGGTGGATTCATATTACGAACCACCAATAACCGATTGTCAGCCATCTTCTTTTTTCATCTTCTCCATTTTTTGACATTTTCTTTTGTTTCTCTTTTTCAATCATCTCAATCATTACATGTTGTCACCTTTACTCTTATTGCTGTACTTTGAAAATCTCTTATCATCTTCATCTTCATAATGATTCTCATGCAACAGTTTATATTGTTTACCATTCAAGTTAATAACCCTCATCATCTTCATCATCAAAGGCCAACACTTTATCTTCATCAATTGTCACCATCATTCTTGTTAAACTAAATCTAATTACTCAACACTAATTGTCTACATTCAATTGATTCAATATTTTCCTCAGTGTTGATCGTCATGTCTTCTTCATCAATTTACTGGTCATTGTTGTTTCTAATTGTTTATTGTCCATTTTTCCTTCTGTTTACAAGTCAATCTACTCAAGCAATTAACTTGATCAATTCAAGAAACTCTAAATCATCATCGTATTCACATGGAGGTAAAAAATTAGCAACCAAATCCTCCAATGAAACCTCATCACAATCAAAGCCAAAATTTTTTCTCCCAACAAGTTTATCAATCAACAAGGAAATTAAAGTTTACATTTTTGATCAAGAGGTTAAAAGGTTAGCAAATTAAACAATTAACACTTAATTAATTGTGGCCCTTCAATCAACTTAATTTTCTTTCTCTTTATTAACTCAACAATTTAGATTCACATTCAGCATTGAGAGTAAACTAGAAGCTCCATTAACGTTAACAGTTACTCCATGTTCGGACCCGATCAAGTGGACATTTGAGTTTATCGAAGACACCGATTCGAAAGGTAAGTTGATGTTCACAATTAAATGTTATTGTTTTGTCAAAATATGATTAGTTTACGATTAATTGATTATCTAACACTCATTGAGAAAATATTGAAAGATATTGACCTATTAATTATCCCTAATCAATTAATCATCTTAATTGTATAGTGTTAACCCTTTCATCTCATCTAATTAACTATTAGATAAAAATAAGCAGTGTTTAGTTAATTTCTTTGAGTATTTAGATTAACCATCTAATGATAAATTGATCTTAATACAATTAATTAGCTGATCACTGTTGATTATCAACTATCTCTGTTAATTGTCAAAATTTCAATGAACCTTTCAGATTAATAATTGACTCCAATTAGTTTATGAAAACAATTAATAATCAAGCTCAATAAGCTTCAATTTTCAAGAAATGGATGTGACAATTAAAGCTAATGATTAATTAATTTGAGTAAAATAATTAAGTTAATTGTTGACTTAAATCATTTGTCCTTCTGAATTATGGTTTTGAAAGCAAATATTAATAAGAAAAATTTATGAATTAAATGATAGTTAATTGATAATTTATTGAGAAAATCTGTTGATCAACAATTAATTTGATTTCTTTCAAGGAAAATATAACTAATTGTCATTTAGTTCACGATAACAATCAAATTAAAAGTTAATCAAATGAGTATCATTGATTGTTTATCATTCAATCTGTTGATTTATGGTGAAAATTAAATAAATTGTTTGTTATAATAAGTAAAACAAATTTAATATTATCATGAAAATTGGTTCAGTCTGACAAGTCATCAATTGATTATTGATGATTATCATGATGATTGAAACGATAAAGATCAACTTTGATTGTTGTTTATTTATCCAATAAATTGAAGGGAAAATGTTGATCAAGTTGGATGTGAATCAAATCTGTCTCATGATCAGTTAAAAACATTCAACTTGATTACATGTTCAATGGATCCTCAGTAACGATAATGTTGTTGTTGCCTGGAGGCTGAGACTATGATGAAATATCAAATTTGGAAGAAAAAAAATTCTAATAGATTGAAATGTTTTCATCTATCAGAACCATTCTAATCAAAGATAATCTCAATATCGAACGATTTTTCAAACTTTCTATCCAACAAGTTGATTAGGATTAGTAGTTCAACAACCTTAGTTCGTCTCTTAATCATAATCTTAACTAACCAACTAGATAACAGTAAATCTTGATAACTCTAAGATTTTGTTTATCTCTTTCATGTCTATTGGAAGTTAGTGAAGTTTTAAGAGGGAAACAAATGTCGACAACTAAATAAGATGAGGAAGAAAACAAAGGAAACAAAGTTCTGAAAGAAATGCGAAAATAAGATGATGAGAAGGCGAATTAAAGTTACATGGTAATCTACTGAGAAGATTCTTACGATGACTCGCAATTTCCAGAGCGAATCGAAATTCTTGAATTTGTGGCAACACTTTAAATGTAATAGACTTGAATTTATATTTGTCGAGATGAATGAGCACTTTTCCTGAATTTCAAATGTTAATTGTTACATTTGGTACAAGCAAAGTTTCCGATTGATGAAGATTAACTTTCTATCGGCTTTGTTTTCAGCTTCTTTCCACTCGATTGATGAAATTATTGTAGTTACTGTCCTTTTGTTATTGGGTCGATTCCAGTATCATCCTTGAATCAATCTTTACTCAGGGTGGGGATGGATGAATGCTCTGTGTGGTGTGACAGTGGGATATTGAAGGTGAAAATGATACTGGTCAAATATTGTTTATCTTTTGTAAACTGGCATCATTTTCAATGACTTGTTTACCACAAAGAGATCCTTTCATCTTCCTTTTTTGCTCATCTTTTCCCTCTCACGTTGGGTGATGAAATATGTGTCTATCTCCCTCTCTCTCTCTCTCTCTCTCTCCTTTTCCTTTTCTTGTCAATGTGAGATGATGATGATGATGTAATGAAGATGTTCCTTACCATGGGATGAGAACCTGGAAAGATGATAGCTGATAGAAAGGAAAAAGATTCAAGTGATTAAATTTAGCTGACGAATGTAATCCGATGAAGATCAAAATTGATTGTTGTTCTTGTTAAAATTAATAAATTGCCCATCATTTTGTGTCTACAACAATTGTGCATCTATTGTTGGAATCAAGTTTCCAGTCAGGTCAAAGAGTTTATTTTATTTTTCCTTCTAGAAAACTTATCCTAGCATTCATCTATTCAATTGATTTCTTTGTAACCAAAGGGGAAATAGATCTACACGTTACAAAGTAAAGGATCAATTTAAATTCTGAGCAAATTAAACAAATGACGTTGATTGTTGAGGACAATTTGTAAATAGTAAATTGGTTATTTTTCAATAAAACATTTTAAGTCTACAATTGAATTTTTCTCATCAATGTAATATGATGAATAACAAAAGCAAATGGATTAGCAAGTCAACGATGAGAGAAAAGGATTAAGCTTTAAATCAATTGTTCACAATTTAACTAATCTGCTTTACTATTTGTCTACATATCTAATTCAATAACAATTTAAACACTTACAACATATAATATGTAATATTATTATTATTCATTGGTAGTCAATCCAATTGAATGGTAAAAAAAAAGATACAAACCAATAATTGTCATCTTTTTTTTTCAATGGATTAAATTGTTGTTAATCAACGGAAACGAAATTATTATAATCGAGAGAAGTAATAATTTCACTTACCCGATATAATTTCAATAGAAATGATATTCGATATCAGCTGGGAAAATCAGTTGATTCTTTTTTCTTTCCGCCATTTTGGACACTTTTCTTGGTCTCTCTCTCTCTCCCGACATAATAAATGTGATTGGTATCTGATTTTATCATCATTGTTGATTGTTGTTAGTTGAGGTTTGTGTCAGCCTTTTGCTGCTCCAGACTCTCCCAGTTTCTTCATATTCTTTCATCTATTTATTTTCTCTTTCAAGGTATCACGCTGATTTGTAGTGGTGGTCTTGTTATATTCCAGGTTCAACATAGAGACCATCATTATTTAGGTATTTCTATTCAATCTTTCAGCAAAATGAGCCGTGAAATTAGGATGAATTGTTTGTCACCAAAATGTTCCATTGATATGAGTCGGTAGTTGTTTCCAGTACAATGATAATGATGATGATAGATAAATGGTCATTTGAATTAATCGTCATTTTAGTTGATCAAACATGTAAAGAGAGAAAGATATTGGAATTAGTATAATCGAAAGGTTAGAATGTCCAAGTCAAGTCAAGTGAATCTCTTCTGTTTGTCTCAATTCTGAGGATGATACATAATAATAATTCATTTACAAACACTGAGAGAGAGAGAGAACAAAAGAGAATTGGAATAAAGCCACTGATGAGAAATCTAATCACTTTGTTTCCAGGCTAATATTTACTCGCATGAATATTTATGTGTATCAACAATAAACATAATCATCCTATTGATAGAGTTAAAACCAATTCATCAATTTAACAAATGATGATTTGCCAATCGGATGATTTGTCTCTCTCTTCCTGTTTCTCTCTCACTAAGTCTTGTAGTGGTCGATACATTTATCAACGTATTCAGAGTCATCGTCATCCTTTTAATTGTCACCATTGATCCTTTTGCATTCATTTACTTTGATGATCCAAATGAACGGGATTTTCAGTCACTTTTCCCATTTCAAGTTCCATCTAAACCATTAGGTTGATAAATTATACACAAAAGACCGTTGTCTTTGTAATATCTTCGTCCTTACTTGTTGTTGGTGTCACCTTTTTGATTATCCACAGATCAATAATAAAGAGCCTTTTCTTTGTCAAATCAATACAAAAGTAATGATAGACGAAAAAGATAAAAAATGTCACCAAATTGAATAAGTGAGTGTCCATGTTTCTGAGATTTATGTTACAACTGTCACTTCTATTGAGATGGATAGGTAATCGGACCTGTGGAAATAGAAAGAGAGAACACACATTATCAACATAATACAACAAAAAAAGAATAAAAAAATTAAAGTGAATCAAATCAACAAAATCACTGATTAATGATAACAAACAACAATCAAGAACACAAGTTAGGCCTCACTTATGATCACTTAAAGGGGAAACATTTCAGACCTTTTATAACAATTTAGAACCTTTTCACTCAAACTATTCCATGTGTTGATTAATTTCCAAATAAAAAGCAATCAAATTATCTAATTACGATGACAATCAACGAAAAATTATCCAACACAATCAAAAACAATTAGAAACGTTTTCAAACAAAAGAAATTATTTTCCCGGCAAAACCTCAGCTCTTTACATAACCATTTGGATCTATTTTCACAGAAACTTATCTAATAATAGTCAATCAATTTCTCTTTTAATTTTAATTGTTTACTAATAATTAATTGTTCTAATTAAATTTTTATCAACTAAGGAACATTAAACATCTTTAACTAGTGTGAGTTAATTATTTCTGTCTAATTGTTGATAATTTAAAACTGAGTTAAAGTTGAAATTTTCGTTTCATCTTCTGTTTTGGCTCAATGATTTGTTTTGATTGCTTTTTTTGTGCTCATAATTGTAAACCAATTTACACTCAATCAGATGGTTCTTAATGATAAAGAACTAATTTTTTCTTCTTTCTCATTATTATTACCTCTCGAAATACTAATTTACTAAATTAGCCAAAAAAAATTAAGAGAGTGAGAGAGAGAGAGAGATGATGATAATCTCATTTATCTCTCCCTCTTCTAATTGGGATAAAGATTCAATTTCTCTCCTACTCTGTTTTCATCAACCTTCATCAACATCTACTCTCTCATAATGTTATATCATCATCTTTGTCTTCATCACTTTCTCATCTCTTGACCATCATCATCTTCCTCATCATTAAGAGGCCTCACCATCATTAGATACTAACTGTTGATATCAATGTGCCTACAGCAAAGATCATAAATTAAGTGACAAGGTGAGTCGATCAGATTTTGTTTTCTTACCTTAGTGAAACATTGATTTGATTTACCAATTAAATTGGTTACTTTACTGAATCAAAATGTGTGTATCATATTATTAGCCAATTTCATCATCATCTTTATAGTAGTAAACATCATAATCTTGTCTTAATCAAGGAATAGATATTTATTTGAGAAGATGATGAAAGATTGAGTGTGAGAGATAAAGACCAGAATTAGGAAACATTAGTGAATCAAATTAAGTCTCATCTATGGTAATTTAGTCTCATAGGAATTTCAACAAAAAAAGTTCTCAGGTAAATCAGTGATTTATTGTAATTGCACTTTCTCACAGTGTAAAGTGATTAACTACAATTTACGAGTATCTCTTAAATTACCAATTATTTATCCCGATGAGAAACAATCAAAACATACACAATTTACTAATTTACAACAATCTTTTTCTCCCATACAGATAAATCATTATGCTAATTCACTGAATCACTTGAATCAATAGTAATTGTCAATTCTTTTAATTACTTTGATCATGAATCTAAATTTGTCCAATTCAGAGATTTAACCGTTTCCTTACCGACAATTAAGTCTGAAAGTTAAATTATCCTCATACTTAAATAGAATCCAACTCTCTCTCTCTCTCTCCATCCTCATCCTCATCATCTTCTTCCCTAAATTGTCAATTTGGTTAATCTGTTAAAATAATATTTGACTTTCCTCCTTTTTCACTCATGATGAATGTGATTTTGTGTCTCTTTTGTTGTAAATTGTTACCAAAAAGTAAACACCATTCATCAGGTAATTGATGATGATAATATTATTATTATCCTCAAGTCAATTGATTCAGTAATTGTATATTAGTTAGAATATCAAATTTTCGTATTCAAGTGTAAATCAAAGTAAAGAAAATGCTGAACAACCATGGACATGAGAGGAAGATAAAAGATGATGATGATGATGAAGAAAATTCTAGTAGAAAAGGATGAAACCCAAGAATCTAATGATTCCTAAAATAGACTGAACCGAATCAACTTAATCACTAACAAGACCAACATTATATTGTTGTAATAATGTATCACTAACATCATCATCTTGACACATTCTGTTCATTTTAATAATGTCTTGGGTGTTACGGTGAATGATAATCTTTGATATGATGAACCATTTGATTTGATTCTCATTGAGTAATGAAACTGAATCAAGTTGCTTATGTGATGATGAAGATGAAGAAAAATGGAGAAAAATCTTCATATGAATACATTGATTTCTATGGGTTTCTTTCAATGATAATCTTATTCATCTTATTTGTTGTATCAATGAACATTTTTCTTGTTCCTTTTCATTTAATTTAGGTTGAATTACAATTTGATTGCGATTTCCAAAAAAAAAGATGAGGATAAAGATGATTTGATTAACACGATTGATGATCAATGAAGTTTTTGAGAGATGTGGATATCGATTGAGACTTTGTAGTCTTTATTGAACTAAAAAGATGAGATTAAATAGTGACACAATTATGGAGATGTAGAGGTTGACAATTAGGAAGACATTAGGACAACTAGATTGACTAGATTAACTAGATTGGATTTTTGAGAGAGGCTGTGGCTATATATATATATTGCAACAGACAATCTAGAAGCATCTAGATTAAGATTAAGTAATCAGGTGGATTACTTAATCTCTAGCGCCACAATCAACGGTTTGTTACATTTGAATTTTCAAACTCTCACACTCTCCCTCAAACCGTGATTCCTAATTCTTTACAGAATTTTTCATGTTTATTTCTTGTAAGAGCTTTTGTTAGAATATCGGCTGGCATATTATCAGTGCTCATGTAATTAATTTTAAAATGACCCAAAGCTATATGTTCTTTGACTTTATGGAAACGGAGATCAATATGCTTTGTCTTCTTGCTTGTTTGATCATTTTTCGCCAGCTTTATCGTACTCGTGTTATCATTATATAGCAATATTGGTTCTTCGGCTTCTTCTTGATATTCTAGCTCACTCAACAAGCTAATTAGGTGTTTTCCTTCATTCATAGCTGAACAGACGGCGATATATTCAGCTTCGGTGGTGCTTTGTGCTATGATCGATTGCCGTGATGATTCATATGCTATTGGGCCACTAGATAGTTTGTAAATGAATCCAGAGATACTTTTTCTATCTTCACGATTAGAAGCCCAATCAGCATCAGCATAACCATGTAGCTTTTCATCAGAGTATTGATATTCCAATGAATAGTCAATCGTACCTTTTAGATATCGGACTATTCTTTTACAAGCTACATAATGTTCTTTATGTGGACAATTGCTATATCTGGCCAATTGATTCACGGCAAACGATATATCTGGTCGTGTTGTTATCGAAATGTGTAATAAAGAACCAATTAAACTTTTATATTCAGTAATATCAACTCGTTCACAAGATTCTGATTCACAGAATAGTTGACTGTTTGCTTCCATTGGGGTAGCGATTGGGTTACATTCAGTCATGTTCATTCTTTCTAGCAATTTGTTTATCGCTTTCCTTTGGTTGATCTGAATCAGTCCAGGTGTATTCTGGTTTATCTCGATACCGAGGATATGAGATGCTTTCCCTTTGTCTATAAGGTCCAAACGTTTTGAAAGCTCTCCCTTAAAGTGATCGATATAGCCCATATTATTCGACGCGATCAGGATATCATCGACATAAACAGCAAGAATGCATTTATCTTGTTTCTTCTTGGCTATATAAATACAAGTATCACTTTGTAATCTTTTAAATCCAATTTCCTTAAGTACTTCATTTAATTTTAGGTTCCATTGGCGTCCACTTTGTTTTAAACCATATAGTGATTTCTTCAGCTTACAAACGAGATCACCTTGATTGTTAGCAATGTAACCTTCGGGTTGTTCCAGGTAAATCTCCTCTTCCAAATCGCCATTCAGATAAGCAGTGGTAACATCCATTTGATGTAAATGTAATTTGTATTTAGCACACAATGCAAATAAGAGTCTTAATGATGAAGTCTTAACAACGGGTGCAAATGTTTCGTTATAGTCTATACCAAATTTTTGACTATATCCTCTGGCTACAAATCTAGCCTTAAATTTATCAACAGAGCCATCAGTATTGTACTTTATAGCAAACACCCATCTTGAACTAGTAGCTTTTCTATGTTCAGGTAAACGAGTAAGATCCCATGTATCATTACTCAACAATGAGAAATACTCAGCATCCATGGCTTGTTTCCATTCATTTGCCCATTTTCCATTCAGAGCTTCATCTACACTTGATGGTATCGGAATAGTCTTTTCTTCTGGTTGACTAGCTATAAGACCCAACGTATTGAATATCTTTCTAGGTCGCCCAGGTTTACCTGTTCGTTCAAATCTTGGTCTACCTCTTGACCTTTTATCAGTTGTTTCTTCCGTTGATAAAGGCTCTTGACTGACCGTTATCTCTTCAACAATTGACGATGTAGCATCACCTTCTTCATTGACTATTTCCAGATCAATTGTATCATCGTTGGATTGTAGCGACTCTGTTATTTCATCGCATGATGATGGTTGACTTAATGGTAAAAAATCATCATCTTGTTGATTGTTTCTCAAGTTGATAACAGCTATATCACTTGGTTGACCATGTTCAATGAATTTGACATCACGACTCTTTATTGTCGTTCTCTTGGTTGGATCGTAAAGTTTGTATGCTTTGGAATGGTCACAATAACCGATCAAAGTCATTTCTCTGGCTTTTTCTTGAAACTTATCTAAGCCAATTGATTTGTTCAAAGCATAAGCTTTACAGCCAAAAATTCTCAGATGCGATATTGTTGGCTTCTTATCGAACCAGAATTCATATGGTGTCTTGTTATCATTGCTCTTGGTATAGCATCTATTCCTTATATAAGCTGAAGTTGATACAGCTTCACCCCAAAAACAAGCTTCCATTTCAGCATCAGATAGCATTGATCTCGCCATCTCTACAAGGGTTCTGTTCATCCTCTCAGCTATACCGTTTTGCTGTGGTGTATTTGGTGCTGACGTTTGATGGATAATACCGTTGACCTTAAGGAACTCTTGAAATGCACCATTGGTATATTCAGTCCCATTATCCGATCTTAAGATTTTTACTTTTCTTCCAGTTTGATTCTCTGCTAAGGTCTTAAATTCTTTAAAGTATTGTAGCGTTTGACTTTTGTACCTTATGATATACACGGCTATATATCTTGAGTAATCGTCAATGAACGTTAGAAAGTATCTGTTACCACCTATCGATTGATTTCTCATTGGACCAGCTATATCACTATGGATGATATCCAGAAGACCAGAGGACTTGTTTAGTGATCTTTGAAATGGTTGGACTGATGATTTACATTTTATACATGTTTCACATTGAAACGATCCACTCAAATCATCATCCATATCACTAATCATTTTCATTCTCTGCATGATCTTGATGTCTTCGATATTTACATGTCCAAGTCTACGATGAATTAGCATTAAATTCGAGGTACTATTAAGGCTACATAATCGATCAACTGGGCTGGATTTGCTCATAAACAGATCATCTTCCAATTTGAATTCCAATATCTGTTCACCATGTTGATCTATCACTTTTGATTTGTCTCTGTAGAAAATCACTTTATAGCCGAGCTTCACTAGCTTGCTCACTGATAAATAGTTACAGCCAACACCAGGTACAAACAACGTGTTTTGCAAACAAAAACTTTCACCGTTAATCTGTGTATTCAAATTACCAATCGCTTTTACTTTCATTTCAGATCCATTCTACAACAACTGATTCAGCTTTATCTTTTCTGTTCGCCATGTTTTTGTCTGAACAGGTAATATGTGATGTAGCACCGCTATCGATGATCCAAACAGATTCATCTTTATAGCCGTTCCCAACTGACAGCAATTTAGATTTATCAGTTGATGAATTAGATGGACAGTTAAAAGCTTTATGCCCTTCTTTCTTGCACTTGTAGCATATCAATTTCCGCTTGAGATGTTTGTTTCCTCTGAATAACCGATTACTTGTGGGCTTTGCGATTTGTAACAGCTTGGAGGTTTCACTGTTACCAGATAGTTGTAACCTTCGATCTTCTTCTTCAGTACATTTGGCTTTCAATGTAGCCAGCGGAGGTAAACTATCTCTTGACGTTAAAGCCACAACTAGATTTTCATATGTTTCCTCTAAGGAAACCAACAGAAACACCGAGTAAACATCATCAGGTATATTGAAATTCTGGCTATCTAGTTGATCTTTGATTCCCATGAATGTTTCAAAATGTTCGGCTATACGTTGTCCATTCTGAATCTTTGTGGTCACTAGTTTACGTACTAAACTAACTTTCTGAGCTGGACCACTTGGCTCATGGTGAGTCTTCAATATGTCCCAAGCATCTTTGGCTATCTTGCAGTTCTTGATTAAACGGAACTTTGAAGGTTGAAGACAAAGGGTAATTTGAGCCAACGCCTTACGGTTACATCGATTCCAATCATCAGCCTTTTCAGCAGGTTTCTTAGTTTCTAACACATCCCATAAATCATTGTTAATCAACAGGCTCTTCATAGACACTGACCAAGAATCATAATTTGTGTCACTTAGCTTTTCAATGGATTGAAGCTGATTAACCATGTTAACTATATAAACACTAATTCACAATTTCACTATATAACTCAAGAGGTTTCACAGATCTAGTTCACAACCACGCTCTGCTACCATGAGAGATGTGGATATCGATTGAGACTTTGTAGTCTTTATTGAACTAAAAAGATGAGATTAAATAGTGACACAATTATGGAGATGTAGAGGTTGACAATTAGGAAGACATTAGGACAACTAGATTGACTAGATTAACTAGATTGGATTTTTGAGAGAGGCTGTGGCTATATATATATATTGCAACAGACAATCTAGAAGCATCTAGATTAAGATTAAGTAATCAGGTGGATTACTTAATCTCTAGCGCCACAATCAACGGTTTGTTACATTTGAATTTTCAAACTCTCACAGTTTTCATGTTACTCTCAGAGATTTGAGATGAAAATTAGATTCAAAAAGATGATGAAGATAATCATGATGATGATCATGGTGATGATTAAATGTTGGCAAAAATCAAAGGAAAATCAAGTCAATTGTAAATGAAAAGGATAAAATTTATGATGATTGAAGTTGATAGTTAACAATTTAAATTGTTAATAGGATACGATGAAGATGCTAATTGTAATTACATTATGATCATTTTCAATTTACTTTCTGCATCATCATCTAATCAACAAACTGTTAACTTGTATTTAATTTGTGATTAGAATGGTAATTGTTATCATATTAATAATATTAATAACGTAACAATTAACTGTAATTGTTTTGATTTAGTGGTGATTTAATTTTCCGCAACGACAAGGAAATATATATTTATTAATATATTTACAATTAACTTACAAATTTAAGTTAAATTGTTGATCATCAATTAGGAAATATTAATTTAAACTTTAATTTACATAAATACTTTGAATGATTTAATATCAATTGATTGTAAAAGCTAATCCAATGTAATCAAGTAATTGAACAATTATGATTTAACTTGTTGGCAAAGAGAAAAGGTTAATTTAATGTTAATCATAAAGTAAATTTAATTTACTTGTTTAACTAACAACAACAAGCCAACTTAAAGTAATCTGTTAATCACCAATATAAATCAAGCAACAATTATGATGATAATTAATTGCTATTAGTAAAATTTTTTCTCTCAACATTTAATCAACCAACAATTAACTGTATTGATGTTTACAATTTATTAATAGTAACATTATGTATTTAATTACACTGATGATTCTTGTTTATCTTAACAATTAACTCTTATGAGAATGTATGTTTGCTTAATTGTTAATTATTTACATTTCGTAATTTGATATGACCATTTAATTTTTGACATTTTCTTTGATTGTAAACGAATTGATTTTAATTGTTTATCTCATTTTTTTCTCCCTTTATCAGAACTTATCAGTTTGAAGAAACGTCGTCGACATGGTAAACATGGACATCGTAATCATAATCGTTTGCGACATCGAAGACACCGAAATGATGGTAAACAATTACAATCGTCAACCGATGGATCTCAAAGTGAATCGTCCACAAGTCGTTTACTATTTAAATACAATGGAATTAATCGTAAATCATTTACCGATATTCGTCGTCAATATTCTGGTCAATATGTTATACAATTATCGTCGAGCAAAAGAGCGACCAGTGCAACGTTAATCCTTTCTCACTTTAATCCTTATCCATTATTGCCCGTTAATGATAATCTGTCAACCTTATCATTAACAGAATCAAGTGTCACCTTAACCTGGCAACAATCACCCAGTGAACCTGATTATCTTGTTGATTATTATGCGATCATTAATCAAGATCATAATGTAATCTCTTACTGTGAGTATCTTCAACAAACGGAATCTTTACTTAAATATCCATCATCATCTCTATCATTACGATCATCTAATATCTCAATGGTTAAAGTACCAATTACACTGACAACCAAATCACCAGTTGAATTTAATGATGATTTTGGTAATAATTTGATCCGTCTCGGGGAAAATAATATTGATAATGAAGTTATCAATCCATCCATGAGTCCATTTGTCCGTTGGTATGAACGTACCATGGCTAAAACATGGGAATCTGAGTTATCCCGGAAAAATTGGACCTCTCGCAATATATTTCGTATCGAACCTGTTGGAAAAGGTTCAACTCATTACCAGCACACTTTCAGGTCACTTGAACCCTCCACAAGATATTATATCGATGTGATTGCCGCAATCAAACACACTGGACGTACTTCATTGTACAAAGGATTCAATGTCACCACCAAAGAGAAACCTAAGATAATGTCATCGTCTTTACCTTTGTCATCATCTTCGATTGCTGTCTCATCTAATGCGAGGAAATCCAATTCTTTGTTAACTAAATTGATTAAATTACGAGATAAACGGTTGGTCAGTGTTTCACTTTCCAGGAGAAATAATTACACCGAGATAATGACCTACAATTACAATGAGAGTGATTTTAATGTTGGTGAAAGCCTTTGGCTGTTTGTTCAAGTTTGTTCGGCTTCGTTAACACCGGTTGATGTTATAATCCACGGAGCTAATCCACCGGATAATTCAGTGTTAATCAAGGAAATTGGAATCACCGGAAGTCGAGTGATCAATATCCCGATGGGATTTAAATGGTATAACCAAAGTATTTACAGTAAAAGTTTAACCGATGAAAAGCAATCAATGGTTATCTCATTAAACGCCAACAGTTTACAACATTATCGTCATCATCGTCCTCCTCTTGAAGTGAACTTAATGATGACCAAAAAAAGACTTCATATTCCGTATCCACAATTACCACGGGATCGGATAATTCGTGTTCTTGACCTTCTTTCAACATGTAATTCAGTTTCGTTGGCCTGGATCGCATCCCCAGATGAGAAAGCCCGTTATTGTATTTACGCGGCTTCCATTCAACCAAATGTACCCGAATCATTGATTCACAATGAATTAAAGTCACTCGCTGGGTTTACCGTTAATTCAACATCTCCATCATTCTGTGAATCTCTCCAATCAACAGCAATCAATGAAACAGATAAAATTAAAGGTAGAAAACAATTAAAATCCAATACGAAGAAAAAAAGTATTCTTGACAAATCGAAGCATTTTAAACGATTAAAATGCCGTCGATTTGCTCCTGGTACTAATTCCCGTTTACACCAAGTGATTATCCAAGATGTTGATAATCTAAATCCATCAACTGAATATGTTTTCCTGGTTGAACTGATCAAATCCAACAAAGGATTAACAGCTTATTACAATCCATTAACAACATCAACAAAATCAAAGGAAACATGTTAACAATTAAAATCCATTGACAGTAAAGGTAAATTTACATAAACTACAATTTACTAATTGTACTGAAGATCCAAAATTATTATTACCTGAGTTTTTCTTTATCATTTAGCTAATCATATTTTTTTTATCTTTATTACATATTCTTAGATCTTGATGTTTAATTTATGACTCGGCTAATTGTCCATCACATAAAAGATTAAGATTCACGAAAGAGGATCAACAAGGAACGTCAAAAATGTTTATCATCCTCATCATCGTAAACAGATCATCAAAATTTATCTAAAAACCATTGAGTAAAATAATCAACAATCAATTGGAATATGAAGATGACCACTTTTTACAATTTACCCTCGAGTGTTGGTCAATAATTATCATTGCTGATTATATGGACAATTATAATAACTTTTTTTTCTCATGATAAACTTGATCCTGTCTCTCAATCTTAATATCCTCTAATTGATGTGATTTTCACCAAGAGAAGATCAAAGAAGAAGAAGAAAAAAAAATCTCTCATTCTACTTTTCATCTTAATCATATTCGTGATTTACAGATTATATTTATTACCAATCCAACTAACGGACACTCACTAGACACACTAAATAACAGAAATTGGAAAAACATCCCAATCAAAATGAAGATTACACCAAGAGGCAACAATTAACTTCGGGAAAATTGTTTACAATCAATGATTTTAGTTGACCAGTTTGAAGACGATTTTTGTTTTCCCTTAATTGTAACCAATTTTCATTCATTCAGCTTAATGTCATGTAAAAATGTTATTAGTGTCACAATTAAGCTGATTGTTTCGTTTTTTTTTCGGCAACTTTCACCTTTTTTCTGGTCTTATTCATATTCATCAATTTAATCTAATGCAATCAGTTTGATTACGTTAGTAATTTAATGCTCATCAATCTCATAATTTAAATTGTGCTTCATATTGTGCTTTTTGTATTTTATATTAATTACAGAGAAAAAGTTAATCATTAATTAAACTGAAGACAAATGTAACATCAATCCAATTAAATTGATTGATTTTCGTTTGATATGAATTACAATTAAACCATATTTCAACCTGAGTAAGTTGATAGATGAACATTAAAAGAGTCAAATTTTAACCACAACAATTAACTAATTTTCTGGCTGATTCGTTATCAATCTAGTTGAACAATCATTACGATTGTCAATCACCTGGAAAAAGGTGTTTAATTAACTTTCGTTGATTAAATCCAAAGACATTGAAACAACAAACTAACTAAACACAACCTTCTAATTGTGAAGGTAAAACTTTTAATCATCGTTAACAATTAACCAGATTCATCAATCCACAACATTGATTCTTGTCGGAAAACAGTTAAATTTGTTAATCAGTTGCTACTGTTGATTTATATATTTATCAATCTCTCTTTCATTCAGTTGTTTCAATCAATCCGAGTTAAATTAGGTTAGTTAACCAACAACCAGTAACACTCATTAGTTAAATTTACAGTAACAATTAAACAACAGAAAGTAATCAAATTAGAATAAAAAATTTCTCGTTCTCAATAAGTTTCCTGTATTCAAACATTATTATCGTCGAGTCCTTGGTGAGTAAGTTGAAATTAAAAACGCCATAAGACAATTATGATTTATTCAAGGCAATTATGATGATAATTGTGATGATTAGGATGATGATGTTTCCATGATGATGATGATGATGTCCTTTATGATTGGTTGCTCATAGTGAAAGTCATAAACAATGTGTTGATTTTTGTCCATGTGATTTAATGTAATCATTTTATTTTTATTGTTTTGTTATTACTTTGATTGTTGATGGAATCAGTTACCAATTTGTTGATTGTTATAACACAATATGGACACTGGGGATACATCATCTTCAATTGTTGGATCCAAACCATCAAGTTATCAATTGATTGGGTCAAGTGACCAACGGAATCAAGTTAATTACGATCCATCGGGAAGTAATTTAAGTGTAACTAGTTCAATAGATTCTGGTGAATTTGTTGTTGACACTGGAATACCAATTAAATCAACTGCTTCTAATTCAAATCAGTCCAAATTTGATAGGAAATCACAATTATATCATAAACTTATCAGTGATGATGGAAGTGATTCCGCCAAAGGATCAATTTTATCAACAGGTAATCAATTTACAACTCTTTTCATTACCAACAATCAACACTATCTAATCTTGTAATTACAGTTGATTACAAATCATATGTTAGTTATTAAATCAACGATTCACAACAAGTAATTCATTAACCTTGATTCAGATGAATCAGTTAACCAAATTGTTGAATTGTAAATCAAACGATTGTCTATCTATGGTCAATCTTTGCTTTCGATTGACAATTGGGAAAAGTGATTACAATTAATCAAAGGAATTAATTTTTTCAACATTTTTTCAAACCCAATTAGTTAATTGTTACCGAATAACCAATGTTTCCATCTACAGGTCGTAATCTCCTCGATAAATCAGCTTTTTCCCATCGATCCATTGTTAACCTTTACACTGAATACAAACAAAGTGACGAGAAGACAATGTTTCATAAACTTTCATTTGTCTCTGTAATTATTGCCTCAGGTAAGGAATCGAGCAACTAATTAGTTAATCAACTAATCATTGAAAAAATTTGTTTCTCTTCAAATCAACTAATTGTTTCCATAAGTATTATGGATAAGCTGTTGGGCCGGAGTTATATTTTTACCCTTGGCAATGATTGTATTTGGTAAGAATTGGAAAGAAAGTTTATTTTTTTCATCAACAATTAACTAAATCATTTGACAATAATTAGGTTTCATCTATCGTACTGATTGCCCTTTAATACCTGAACTACCTGGTCTACTGATCTTCATGGGCATAGTGACAACAATTAACAATATTGTCAACGTACTTGATCATATCCGTAATTTATATATCATTGGAAACGACAATCAATCAATTGTTGGTCCAAATAGTTCATCAGAATCAACAATATCCTCACATTTATCAACATTCAGCTTCATCCTTAATCTAATTACAACAATTTTAATCATCTATTTAACTGTAATCATCTTTAAACATCCAACAATTAACTCGGATTCTAATTCAGCTGATTTCTGTTCACCGGTAATTTACAATTTCGCCTCTTGGATAATTTATTTAATTGGATTATTGTGTCTCTTCATCTTGATTGCAATCATATTGGGTTGTTGTTTTATCCTATGGAAACCAGCTCGTTGTGCTACTGATTGTGATCAATTAATCAACTAATCAGTCAACAAAAGTTTACCTTTAATTAACTATCAACACCTTGAAACAATTTAAAGTTACCTGATTTTAATTAGAGTCAAATCCTTGAAATTGTTCAATTTATTGGTATTTCTTTTAATTACTTGTTTTATTTTTTACTAATTCTAATTGTTTCCGTTAATTGTGTGACTCACCTTATCCATTCAAGTGTAAATTAATTCATTTAAGTTAATTACTATTTAATTCACTCTCATTGGTAAGTTTTAAACTCAAGTTTTTCCCCGTTTTTTGTGTTTGATTAATTGATTTATCATCACTGTTTTTATTGTCTGACAATTAAATCACTTTTGGTTAATGATTATTGTGACATACAGATTAGTTTATGAACAATTAAAACAATTGTTATCAAATCTACAGTGATTTTTGTTTAATTGTTGATCACTGGATTACAATTATTAGATTTAAATTGTTACTTTAAAAAAAAGGTATTGAAAAAGTTTTGAGATTTCAATGATTGATCATTAATCTTGGTGATTTAGTTTCTGATTAACTGATGAAAAACAAATCAAGCTTATTGTTAATCATAACCAATGCCGTTTAATTGTCTTTGTTACGTTTTGTTGATTGTCATTAATCATCCTGGTGTTTAACAGTCTAGAAAATCAGAAAGAAAAGGAACAATTAATTTGATTGGAAAACATTTAAATTAATCGTAATTCAAATTGACCATTTTGTTTACCTATTTAATTGTAGCAAAAGGTGATCATCTTAAAATCTTTGCTGAGGAATATGATTAAGATCAAATTCTGGTTGATTTAAGGTTTTCTGGCTGTAAAAGGCTTCTCGGTGATGATGATAAAAAGGATAATCCCAAGAAGGTGTTACTGGATTAACGGGATCATAATAAGGTGATGGTGATGAGGCTGGAAGTGGATAATTGTAGCCTGATGATTGCCAGGGTGGAGCGAAAAATTGTCGTTGATCAGTGAATTCTAATTGTGGGATAAATGGTGAACCAGGTGAGGATGGAGATTGAGGTGATGAAGATGATGAAACGGAAGAAGAGGAAGTTGAATAACCAGAGGTTGAAGAAACTTGATTAACTGATGGAGATGATACAAAATATCCTGATGATGATAAGAAGGGAGTATTTGATATAAATTGATTCTTAGCATCGTATGTTGTTGTTGGCACAAGGGTTTCACCGGCAACACCACCTTGTTGTTGGTATTGCTGTTGGGGTTGAGGTTGAGGTTGACCCTTTGCGACAGTTTGATCTGCTGCTGAGTCTACATTGAAAGATCCAATTGTAACTGATGGAGATAATGATTCGGAAGATGAGGGTGAAGATGAACCCCCTTTGACTCCATTGTTACCTGAAGAAGGTGAAAATGATTGGTGAGGAAATTTAGTGTCCACAGTTACGGTGGCTGGTGACTCGACGTGAGTCTTTGTGGAAGAGGTTGAAGATGAAGATGAATGAGATGCTGATGATGATGATGATGATGGTAGAGATCCAGAGACCGATGGGGAAGATGATTGAACGGGATAACTTCCAGCAACCACCGAGAAACCAAAGGACTCCAAGTTGGGATTTGTGGTGGTGCATGAAGATTGGATTCTGGTTTAAGTGGTTTGGTAACAAAAGACTCTTGCTGAGCGGATCCGGTGACACCACTTCCTCCTCCACCTCCTCCAACGATTGATGAAGATGATTGAACAGATTCTTGTAGCTTAGGTGAAAATGATGGATCGGAAACAAAGGTTGGATTACCTTTGATTTCACCTTGAGGTGAGGCAGCAACGGAAGATCCTGAGGTTGAAATAAAAGAGGGAGATGATGATACGACTACTTTGTCACCCTGAGGGGCTGATGGGCCACCAACTGAGGAAATGGAAACTGTGTGAGAAGGTGGAGTGAAAAATTGGAAATTTTTGTTCACTGGTTGAGAGGAAGATGATGGATATTGACCATAGTGGGGAAAGAAACTCGAGAAAACGCTTGGAATTGAGTTTGGTGAAATTTGTCCAACTGAAGGTGACGATAATTGTTGCTGAGGTTGTTGTTGTTGTTGTTGTTGAACATTTGGATTGGTAAAAACGGAAGAATGATAAATTGGATATCGACTTTTCCAAGTGAAACTTGATGACCCTGGATGTTGTGGGAATGATGGATGACCAAATTCATATGATTGACCAGGATAATTCCCGCCAGTAAAAGATGCGACAAATTTTTGGTGTCCACCGCTGGGAACCTCGGCTACAGTTGAAGGGACTGATGCTGGTGGTGACGATTGATTTGACTTAGATCCATGTCCAACTTGAATGGGTTGGTAAGCTGATGAACTGGGCTGGAAAAATGGTGAACTAAATTGACCACTTTGAATAGAAACTGTAAGAAAACCAATCAACAAAAAGAGATTAGAACAATTTAGAAAATTTTCTCGAAATCGAAACTTTCAAAACAAACTTTTGGACACATACCTGGTTCTGAAAACCATGACGATGACCCTGGTAAAGTTTGAGTGGCCAAAGGTCGGACTGTGTTACTTTTATGGGGAATGACAAGATACTCTCGACCCTTAATTGTGATCACAGAGGGAAATTGATCTTCTGTGTAAACATGTTGTGGAACTGATTTACCATCATTTGGTTTAAGGTCAACGGGCTTATCGTAAGGGTAAACTTGACCAACTGAGTGACCCTTGTTATCTACCAATGAAAAAACTGAAGGTGAAACTTTTTCCTTTGAATCGGAAACTGTTGGTGAAACATCACCACCATTGGAATCACTGGATGAAGAAGATGAAGAAGAAGAAGAAGAAGATGATGATGATGATGATGACGATTGGACTGGTTTATCACCTTCACCAAGTCGTCGTTTTCCTGTCAACACTGCAGGTAAAATGTTCTTATATGGATCAGGATTGGACTCACTAAATTGTGGGAGAGAAGACAAAATGAGACACACAATCAATGAGAGGAGAAAAAAAATCAATTGCTCAATATGAACTTACTCTGATTGTTTGGGTGATTCTGGTGCCAATGGAAGAGTTTCCTCCTTTTTCTGTTCAATTACATCAGGAGTGTCATTAGAAGAATACAATTTTTTATTGTCACCATTTGGATTCAAAGCCCAATCAACTTTCTGTTTATTATCACCTCCAACTCCACCTACACTTCCTCCTCCGCCTCCAGCAGCAATGGCTCCGGTTCCAGGCGATGATGATGATGATGGTGCTGGTGCAACATCGACCGCTGATGCTGATGATTCAATACGAGCTCCCCAACCCAATGGGGCATCCAAAGGACCGGAAACAGGAGATGCTTCACGTTTCGAGAATGAAGAATCAATTTCTTCTGCAAGTTTTTGTTGACATTGAAAAGAAATTTGAAGAAAAACAAAACAATTTGAAACAATTTGTGAGACAGAAAACAGAACAATTGATCTTAATGATGATCGGGGACAAATTTGATGATTTGAGGGAGAAAATTAATTGTTCAACTTTGATTTTCATGTAATTTACCTGAAGAATCATCGAAATTAAATTTAGTTGGTCCATTGATGTTTATTATTGATTCGATATTATCAGAGATTCGGGTTGACCAATCAACTGAAGGATCCTCAGGAACTGGATTTGTCTTTGTTAAGTCAATCAGTAACAAAGAAACCAGTAGAGTCTTAATTACCTTTTTTATGAATAAGAAATTAAGATGAAATATTAATAATTAAATTAAAGAATCGAAATAAAAGTTTGCCTGTTATGGAAAAGTTTACTTGAAATTGAAATGAATTCGTTTGCTTACAATTTGTTTAATCATTTTGGCTAATTAAAATGTTCTACTGATTATGTACACGACAATTAACTCCAACAAATGGTTGACACAATTTAAAATTAACTTTCACACAGAAAACTTAAAGTTAAAATGAATCCAGTGAATCCTTTACAACGAAACTACAAAAAAAAAGTTTCTCTCTTTTCATCTTCTCTCTCATTTTATCTTCCACAGGCCACTTTGTCTTCCCAACTCACCCAACTTGATCATCATCTTCATCTTCCTAATCATCTTCATTATCATCTTGCAAAGAACTACTACCCAGAGGCTAATCCTGATTCACCAGGAGCTTTCAACCAGTGGGCTTACCATGAATACTCAGAGGATTGGAATCAGAGCCAATGGAAAAATGGAAGAAGATGAAAAGAAGATGAGAAGAAGATGAGAAGATGATGAAGATGATGAAGAATAAGGTAAGAAAATGGATATTAGATAAACAGAGATGATATTTGACTGACGAAAACAGGTTACCCATCAAAGAAGAGGTTCAACCCGAAAATCCTCAAATTGGCCTAGACCATTGGAAGATAATCATTCTTCAATTTTACTCACTCATCTTCTTCTTCTCATCATCTTTATCTTCATCATCAAAAACCCTAATTACGCCTCAGGTGACCTAGCGAATCGTAATTTCTTTCATCATCTTCATAACAGATTATACTGATTCTCAACCGAATCAAATTCATTTATTTATCATGGTCACATCATCATTAACTTTCATCTTCTCATGTAATCAACTAATATCATCATTCAAATAATCAAATTAAATCGAACAAAAAAACAATTTATCTGTACAATCAAAAACGATTATATAAATTAACTCCAATCAGTTAATTTCTTTTCATTAAATCATATTTCAATCTTACCATGGGAATCATTTACTAATCAGGTTAATCAATCAATTCATTTAAATGTCAAAATTAAACATCAATCTAATTATGTATTAGTATCAAAGATGATCATACAAAATTAAATGATCATTTAAATTGTTACCAAAGTAAAAAATTAATTCTCAGACAAAATAAGCAACAATTAGAGTTGAATATGATTAACCGATTAACTGATTAATTCAATCATTCACACGATCCAATATTATCTTAATTAGTAAGTTAAGTTGTTGTGATTCTTATGGAATTGAATTTAATTAATTTAGAGAATTGGATAAGATTAATTTTATATTCGTTACTTTAATTAAACACTGAAACTTTTTCCATTCAACTCAATCATTACTCTAAATTGTAAGCAATAGTAGAAGAGATAATTAGAGTTAATAAAATCGCAAGACATTAAGTCATTTTTGTTTTTGTTTTGAATTGTAATTATCATCTAATTGCCTCAAGGTTTTCAATGTAATCAGTGAAAAATTAAACGATCATCACATTCCTAAATATGTATAGTCAACATAACGATGAGTGGAAACTTGAATATTATGACAATTTAAGGTGAGTTAATAGTTGATTGTAATGGTGGTAAGTTGACAATTAGTTTAGGGGATAATTAATAAAATGACTTTGAGTTGGTTGGAGAATCAGAGTGACCAGAAAAAAAAGGAGAGTGTGTAATCTTTTACAAGGGAATAGATGATGAAAAGTGAGTTCTTTCATCTGTAAGAAAATTCATCTTCCCTCAGGGTAACACAAGTTTCACTTTGGAAACAAGTTACAACTAAACGAAGTGGATTCATGTTGATTAATATTAGAATAAAGAATTATCATCAGATGAGATAATTGTGAGAAATTATTATTTCCAAAACCAACACGATCTGGTTTTTCTTTGTTGATTCTTGCCAAAATGGCCTCCGTTGATTGATAATTTAAATCTTTATGGTTGCCATTAGATGTTAATGATACACCCAAATAGAAAAATTGAAATTCTGATCGACATTGAAGATCTCTCATCATCATCATCATCATCATCAGGTATCATGAGGTTTCCAAGTCAAAGATTCTTTGATACTGTCAAATCTTTTGATGTTTTCCATGAAAATCCATCCAGAATATTTTCTTCTTTTTCTTCTGAACTTTTGAACCAATCAGAATTTTCATGTTTTCTTTCTTATATCAGCTAACAATTTAAGATACTTTTTGGTACAATTGAAATCAAAATAATTTGATTATACACTTTGTGAGAAAAGTATGGGATAGAAAAGCCTCAAGGCTGAAAGGAAATTCCCGATTTCACCAACACGAGCTTCTTTGTCCACAATTTGGGTTTAGTTCTTTGGCATTGAAAATTTTCTTGAATCCTTGAATTAAAGATGAAATTATCCGGAAGATAAGTTGAACTATTGATATTTCATTTGTCCTTTGAATAAGATTATCAATTGAATGAGATCACTTTCAGATTCCAACAGGTTCATTGATTTATTCTGGGATCAAAATTATGATCCACCATAGAGATAATTCATTGAAATGTATCTTTATTATTATTACGTAGTTTTCAGGTTAATGAAACTGGTTTTAAAGTTAATTAATTATCAGCTTCTTAAATTTTTCTTTCTCTTCATTCTCCTCCTATCACATTTAATGAAGAAAATGAGCTCTGTCAGAGATACACCTTAACCTGTAGCTCATGGAACCATTCACCTGAGATGAACGTGAGAGAGAGAGAGAGAGAGTAACAATTTTCTTGTGAAATTAATTATCTCCAAACTTATGACCATCTTAACCATGTAAAGAAAGAAATATTGAACTTTGGTATTGATTCAATAATAAGCGAATGGTTCAAGTGGTTGGAAAATGAAGCCATTTTGTCGTAAGATTTACGTCCCTCACAAACCAACAACGTCTCATGAGAACAGCTCAATTAACACATCAAACCATGAAAGTGATGAAAAATTCTGAAAGAAAATTAGAGAAGACGCAATTAATGAGAAACGTTTGTAATTAAAAAGATAACATTTTCTTTTGAAAAGAATATTTCTCAAAATGATTCTCAATCTCAGCCTCATTAAATCAGTTTACATTTGCGATCATTGAAATTCACGCAATTTTTCATTTCATCATTGAAAGAGAATCAAATATGAGATGCAAACTAATTTACAAATCAAACAATTACTATCAAGTCAAATAAACTTACTTTTAATTGCCGTGAAATTGGCGAAAACATAATATAATCATCAAAATCTTTCACCATCTGAAAGGAACATGGAGGACAAGAAACATTGAGAAACTCATTGGGAAAGAGAAAAAAATTCCCAAAGAACAGAAACAAAATTCACATGGTAATTAAACCAAATTATAATTATGTTACATTGAATAAACGAAACTTAGAATAATTAAATCTTGTCCTGGAGAATGTTAACCAATTAATTGTCATCAAAAATTCACAACAATCAATTTAAATAGTTGATGAAAAATTTAAATACGGAAACAAAAAGCAAACGGAAATAGCAACAAAACTTTACCATAGAAACGAATGTTCAATGTTGACCAATGAGAAATTCTAGTCAATAGTATCGCCATCTAGTGGAAAAGAAAATCAACTCTTCCTAATCACATTTGGAAATTAAAAGTTAATCAAGTTCATTTCATAGTTTTAATCATATGTCGATAATTAGATAATTAAAACTTGTGATTAATTGGAATCTGGGCTGGTCTTTGTCATGAGACTGTAGTGTGGTGTGGTTTTGAATTAAATTTGAGTTGAATTTTTAGAGACGCGATAAAGTAAATTAACAAATTGGTGATTGTTGATGAAATCAAAACATTTAATTGGATTAAAACAGACAAATAATTGTAATAATTAAAAGAGAACAAAAAAAATGATCAAAAAATTGTGAATTGTGTGTGATTGTTGATTTAATTGTATTTTCGTTATTACCTTTCATCCGATGTGTTAGCGATTGATAATCAATCTAATTTCTCAACCATATTGATCTTGATTTGATTGAAACGATTAAGTCAATTTCAATAATCAGTAATCAGATTTGCTGACAATTATTATTTTAGGGTTTTCTATTATATTAATACTTTGTTACATTAACAATTAACGCGAGTTGAATGTAAAATAGTAATCAAACAATATCGTTGTAAGTGACAAGATTAATTAACTTTTTTTTTCTTTACTTTTTCATCATATTTTTGAATGTGAAATAGGAAATTGTTTAATTAACTTAATAATAATAGTAATAATAATGTGTTAATATTTGTTTAAGATAATAATGAGTCGAGTGGTGATAATGGTCTCGATAAAATGATTGATTGATTTCCCCGATCAAAGAGTTTTCATAATCAATGATTGGGCTAAAATGGTCAAAAATTTAAGATATTAATTAGACTAAAACATTAATTTGTGTTGGGTGTTTTTTGTACGTTTTTTGTCAATTTTTTGTCTGTAGTTCTGTTGATTTTGTCAACCTTGTTCCTGGAGATACATTCATCTTCTTGATGATTTGACAATTAGTTTGCAGAGAAAAGTTTGTTGAGAGTTCAATAGTGTACTTGCAGAGTTTGTCCTGTATTTCCAAAAAAAGGTAAGAGAATGATGAGAAATAGAGGGAACGAAGAATATGGGAAATTGGAAAAGAAAATTATCTCTCTCATTTTCTTTCAGTTGTACTTTGACAATCGTCGATTTTGAGTTTGAACGACAAGACGATCCAATTCTGCAGCATCATAACCGATTAGATTCTTTAAATCACAAACAAACTTGTACACAAATCGTTTTCCATGTACCTTAGCGATCATATCTCCATCATAATAGTAACGTAAAGCACGAGACAGTTTTTCATAGTTCATGGTTGGTTTGTTTTTCCTTTGGCCCCACAATTGAGCAACCATTTCAGGATTGATTAGGCGAAATTCACCATCTCGTCCTTCCCATTTAATACATTCACGACAATCAGCGTCGGTCAATAGTTCTAATAAAAATTGCCACAATTGTATCTGTCCATTGTTACCTGAACGATTACCGGGAGATGGTAAAAATTGTCCACGACCACCGACAATCAGTCCATCAGCTGCTGATCCAACAGCGATACCAGTTCCACCAGTGGATCTGTTGATACCTCCGATCAGCCTCTTCTGTTTATTGGGTGTCGTTGGTGTGGACGAATTAGTATTCGATGGTGGAGTCGACGGGGAACCAGTATTACCTTCTGGACTTCCAGTTGAAGCGTTCGCGTTGGTCGTATTATCAGGAGGTTTAAGAATATCCAAAATGGTGACTCTTCGAGCCTCTAAGTCAACAATTAATTTAATGTTGATCAATTTGGTCTGTTGTCTTGCACCTTCAACAAGATTACACTGCTCAATGATGGATTTGTTGAACGTTAACTTATTATCTTGCAGGTAAAAGTCATAACTTTCGATATCCTCATATTTTAACTTTAACAGCAGACAAAGAGAATTGACACTTGCATTAAGTTCAATACCTTCCAGGGTAACAACGTTCTCGTCTTCTTCTTCTTCCTCGTCTTCATCATCTTCTAGATCATCATAATCTTCACCCGTCATTTTATTAACTGATCCTGTCTCCTCATAATCAAATGAATGAACCAACTCGTTTGATTCCTCTGGTAGAAGTGCTTCGGTTAAAAATTCTTCACTATTTTCAGTCATTGTCTCTTTTTTATCTCTCTTTTTTCACTGTTTCTTCAAGTGAAAATTGTCACTCTCGTTGTAGAAACCTGACAAACAGAGAACAGAATTAGATTATCGGAGAGTCGAAGGAAAACAAGAGGGTGAGAGAAACAGTGATTGTCGTTTGGGTGAAAAATAGAAAACAAAAACAAGGAAACAGGAAACACCAAAATTGAAAGAACAAACCAACCCGTCGAATGCGAATTAAGAATCAAGATACAAGGTTGGTTTCTATAGGTGAAAAAAGAGAAGACATAAAATTAGCTAAATCATGTAAATAGATTAAAACAATAAACAGATTAAATAGAGTAACATCGTTAATCTTCAAGCTTCCTGGATTCTTCTTTCTTTCACTTTCATTCCTTTCTCTCAGCTTTTTTTCTCTTTCTTTCTCTCTTTGTCTTTCTCTCTTTCTCTTTCTATCTCTTTCTCTCTCTCTCTCTCTCTCTCTTTATCTCACTTGTCACTTTGTAATATTTACCTTTTCTTTTTCTTTCAATCCATTGTTACAACTTGAATGTTTCTCAATTCTGTCCAATTTATAAGTTACGAACCATGTTCGATACAATGTGTATAGATCATAGGTTAATGTATAAAAATAAACAAACAAATTAATTTAATTTAATCACTTAATTAATTAGCAATTGAAAAGATTCATTTACTTTGATTAACTTGAATTTCCAAAGAAAAATTGACAAGTGACACCTGTTGCCATCTATCGGTTAACCAGAAATTCTAATCAATAGTATCGCCATCTAGTGGAAAAGAAAATCAACTCTTCCTAATCACATTTGGAAATTAAAAGTTAATCAAGTTCATTTCATAGTTTTAATCATATGCCGATAATTAGATAATTAAAACTTGTGATTTATTGGAATCTGGGCTGGTCTTTGTCATGAGACTGTGGTGTAGTCTAGAATTGAATTGAATTGAGTTGAGTTGAATTTTTAGAGACGCGATAAAGGAAATTAACAAATTGATGATTGTTGATGAAATCAAAACATTTAATTGGATTAAAACAGACAAATAATTGTAATAATTAAAAGAGAACAAAAAAAAATGATCAAAAAATTGTGAATTGTGTGTGTGATTGTTGATTTAATTACATTAAAATACAATTTCGGTCACTGGTTGATGGCGATTGTGATTTAATTGTTGTTGGTGAACCATTGGAACCATGATTGTCTTGATTGTTATTAGCATCTATTGGACAATTAGCATTATTATTAGCATCACCTCCTCCATTATAATCATCTTCAGGGTAATCATCATCACTTAGATCACTAGAATCAATCATCAATGACATTCGATCCAATTTATTTAATTGTTTCACCTTTTTATCAGACAATTTATCCTTACGTTTAACTTTTTTCACTTTATTGTTGTTACCATTTGATGATTTAACATTTGATTGTAAATCTTTAGATGATTTAATTTTCTTCAGGCCAAATATACTTGAGACTAATTTTTGAGATGATTGATTTGATTGTTGTTGTTGTTGAATTAATTCTGTGTCGATCATTTTCAAGTTTCGTTACTTTTGGACACAATTTAATAAGAAAAATATAATTAATTATAATACGACACAATAGAAACACTTAATTGTCACAAATGGTAACTTAAGATGATCAAGATGAAGAGTTAAAATGATTTAATTTTCCTTGAGATGATTTAGTTAAATAGTTTTGTCTTTTGATTGTTGATGATCAATTTTTTTCACATGAAAGTTGATTGTATTAGTAAATTAACTTGTAAAGGTGGGAGGAAATTAACTAAAGAGTTAATTTGATGATTAATGTAATCTGATTCCAATGTGAGTATTGATAATAATGATTAAGGTTAAAGTATTGATATTTATTGGACAACAATTGTTGTTTTAATCAACATTCAATTGATTTTGAGGATAATTTGATGACATTTTTACAATTGATTATTGATTATGATTAGATCACAGTCGTCAAAATGTTAATCAGTCTCTTGGTTAGTTAATCAAATGTAAGATTTACAATTGGTTAATATTATTAAAAAAATCGTGTAGATATAAATCTGATTTGTACAAGAAACATGAAAATACATAATCAAGTTGATTAATTAAGATAATTTGATTTGAGTTAATCACCATCTAAATGGTGTCAAAATTTTGATTATAGTTCAGGTCACTGATTTAAGTTGATTAGAAAATATTTTTAGTGACTTGATTGTATAATCTCAAAAATATAATCTCTAGATTTTAGATTGTGATGATTTATTGATTATTATCTATACCATCTCTCCACTTTGATAATAACTTAATTGTTAATTGATTTTCATCTATTGATCCAATGTCATCAGTTAATAAATTAACTCGTTTCTCAATTAGTTTCTCAATTAATTCAGGTAATTGCTCAGATTCATCATCGCTTGATAATTGACTTTCATTTGTATCACTTGTTGATCCAGGTAATGGTATCAGAAATTTAGGTTTAATTGATTCAGTTGGAACAATTAACGGTTCATCTTGTGTCAATTCCCAGTTTGAATCATCACTTGATTCAGTTTCATTATCAAACGATAAATTAGAGAAAGCTGATTCCAATAGAGAATTAATTTCATCAGGAATTGTTAAATTTTCGTTAATACAAGATCGATTCCAACTAATCCGATATTCGGGTTCAATTGTCGAGGCTGGATAAAAATCTTGAACATAAATATTGTCACCAGTAGTTGATTGAATAATAGAGTAACCATTTTCCGTTGGAATAACAATTAAACCAGTTAAAGTGTATTTTTCCAATTGATTACAAAGATCATCAACAACATTAGGTGAGTAATGCCAAAAATCAGTTGGAGTCGATAATTGTAATGGTAAATGAAGTGATTTAGGTTGAATTATATTGGTCAACTCGAAAGGATTAATGGTCATTAAACATGATTGATTATTATTTGCTAGAGTGATTATTGACTGTTTTGAATTGTTAATTGTGGTGGAAGACAGGAAACGCGGTAAATTGTTATTGTTTGTTGGTAACATGTGATTCCAGGTAAGTAAATTTTTCTGTGGATATCGTCGGTCAACCAGAATGACCTTGTGGTCTAAAGTTAATAAAAATTGAGTATCTGAGATGGACAGTTGACAACAATCTCGAAATTTTTCCCAATCTCTTGCGAATTCTGATCTTTTTCTGTCCATAATGCTTAGAATTGTTTTATTTGATCGAGTGTCCAGTAAAGCGAATTGATTAAGTTCACAATAGGCCAATAATTTAGGATGATCGCGAGTCCAGAAAAGGTTAACAGGCGATTGCCATGATAATGAACGTTTAAAATCAGTTTTAGATGAACTACAAATCCAAATGAATTGTTTCGTCTCCATATTATAATCACTTAGAGTTACACAATTATCTTCACCATACTGACCAATTGCTAGATTGTGTTTAAGAAAATGTGACCTCGATATTTTCCAAAATTCTGTAAACTGGTCAAATTCATTGATTAATCGGCTCTTTCTTTTATCTTCAGACTTAATGATAAACTCTTGAGGTGAAAGAATCAGCTGATCATCTTGTTCCTTTAACTTTAACAAGTTGATTCGTTTAGATTGTCGAATGAAAAAGGTTTCATTGGACTTAGAATCGAAACATGATATCTCGCAAATTGGTCCATCCTTTTTGGACAGTTCACAGATCGATGAGGTCGACGAGACCATTTCAAGCTTGGTAAGGGAAGGTGATTCCTCGTTTCTCTCTAATCGGTACAAATGTAAACGATTGGTGATCGGATCGGCCGAGAAGAAACATTCTAACCCATCATTGTAGAATAGACTATTACAATGGTTTCGATCTAATTGGAATTCGTCCGGTACTCGGTCAAGTCGACGTTTAGATGATGTGGCCAGTGGAAGAGCGAAACACTTTGGATAATAAGGTGAGGCTCCCATAGAATCACATTTAAGTTGATAGGCTTTGAAAGTACTTGAATCGGGTCGGTGGACATAAATTCCTGATCCTCCGCTGTCAATATAATCATGTTCATAAAGGGTTCGATTGCGAAGTGTTGTCACCGGGACTCCATTAGATGAGGCCGAATGCCAATTAGCTAAAGTAATCGGAAAATCAGTGATAAAATCAGGTAAATCCATTACCCAATCTAACACAACTATAGATACCAAAGGTTATTAAAAAGAGTCTCCGTTTTGAATCAATCAAAAGCGAAAGGTAATCAGTCTTTAGGTGATGATTAAATTGGAAACACGGGAAAAGATAATACATATCAGATTGTTAAGAACAATTGAAAATATCTAAGAAAAAGTTGATTGGAATACCAACCAAAGTCTATTTTGAATAGAGAAGAGGAAAATCTTATGAGGAGAAAGGTAAGAGAAGATAAAATTCCATATGAAAATCACTTGAGAACCTTGAGAATTTAGTTGAATCAACAATGTAACATGTTTAATTGTTAGAATTAATGGTAATTAGTGGGTAAAAATGTTTAGAATTTAAAGAAAAACTCAACAATTTAAGAGAAACAAAAGTCAGGCCTCAGGAGAAAATGTAAACAAAAGGGAAACATGTGATCTCCACATGAATGGAAACTTTTCTCAGTCAAGTTTATCGAAGTTTGGAAAACAATTGGGATGTTAATTGTTGCTATTCGGTGGAGGATTTTAATTTAATTCGCTAATTATAAATTTTATTGTTCTTGATTTTAATTCAATGGTTTCGCTCAAATAGTTAATTCGATTGTTCCAGAAAAAGAGGTTTAACTTTATTTGAATTTCTATTGGTAATCATTTGGTTTTATTGAATTGAAAATTTAATTTATTATTTGTATTATTGATTGTTGATTGTAGAAAGATTCAAGAAATGAATTAGCATTTAATTTACTAAGTTGAAAGGTTTTCGGTGAGAAATGATTTGATTTGATCTTGTTTTTTTCTCCATTGATTTAGTTGTGATCAACATTTGATCATTGATTTGCTTTGTCATGATGAGAGGCGAAAGAGAATCAAGATTTAATTGTGATTATCATCTAATTGCTGATCTAGATTTTGAAATTTTTTGCTCACTCTTAATCACGATTAATATGTATTATCAGCAACATTTACCTTTCAGACAATTAACTTGACCATTGATTATCTTTTCACTATGTTTATCTCAATACTTTTAATTGTTTCTATGTTTCTACCAGGTAAGTTTAACATTCATTTGATTTGCTAACAATTAATGTTCTCGATTCTTGATTTTTGAACTAATTGTGTGTTTGGAATAGGAATTCATTCAATTAGATGTTATCAATGTGAATATCGTCGATGTCCAACATTATCCAATTGTCGGGAAGTTCGTGATATTTGTACAATCAACAACTTCCAACGTTGGGATGTCCGACAAATTGAATGTCCAGGTCCTTGTGAGACACATTTAGTTACTGATCCAAATGGTAAGTCAACAATCAACATTTAATTGGCCATTTTTAATCATTTTAATTGTGAACAATTTAGGTAAAGTGATTAAATGGCATCGAGGTTGTTCAACTCAACCAATGCCGACCAGAGGTTCGTCCGTTAACATTTGTGAGACCATTTATCGAGTCGGAATTAAGGAAGACATTTGTACCTGTTCTGGTGATTTATGTAATTCATCAACTAATTTACAACTACAATTAACTGTCATCTCATTAATTACCATCAGCCGATTTCTACTATTGACATAATTAACTTATTCTCAACTGAACCATAATTGACTTCGATCTTTTTTTACTACATGACTATAAACTCCATCGGAGTGATTGTTGTATTCCAAATTGTTTGTAATTCTTTTGACAATTAATAAATTTTCCTTGTGTTTGAGTTGATTGTTTTCACTTATTTTCACTTGAAAATAATAATTTCTCCTTCAAATGATAAGGAAGTTGAAACATCTCTAAGCCCACGCGATGATTAAGCATCAAAAGTTAATCAACCAATATGATGAAATTAACCGAACATAATTGTGAAGTCATTCAAAGTGAATACTAATCAACTACAAATGATAACCAAATGTTGCAATTAGAAAGTTGATCTAATCAACTAAACGATTAACTTAAATTCCAAGTAATGGTTGAGCTATTTGAAGAGATAAAAACAAAGACAAAAATAGTCTATCATTTAATAGCTGGAAAAGTTAAATCAATTTCTAATAATAATCTTTTCAATATGTTTAATCGTTCAAATGATTAATGAAATTTACCAAAAGTCGAAGTTGATTAAAGTTGTTTAATAGATTTTACTTTTTTTCTATTTACCGCTTTTCTTTTTCAGTTTCAAAATCGCTCATAGATGGCAACTAGAAATTCTTGATTAGAGACCGAAGTCAGTCAGTTTTTAGCCAAGTAACTGACTGCCGAGAAAATCAAGTGGCGGTCGACTAAAGTCGACTGAAGTCGACTCGTGACAATTTTCGACTAAAGTCGACTGGAGTCGATTTAAAACCGCAAATTTGAAATTTTTTATCTATTTAATTGACAATTAAAAATTAATAGATATTAGATTCATCAAAATTGCACAAAACACGTGCTTTTCAGTCAACTTTAGTCGACCTAAGTCGACTAAATCACAGTCGAGTCAGTCATTTCCGAAGTAACTTCAACTCAGTCGATTTAATTGTGACTGACTGACTGGCTGAATCGACTGACTTCGGATTCTAATTTTATTTCTAATTGTGAACTTGAGTCTCCTTTTTATTTGGTATTTTATATCGCTGAAAAATTGAATCGACCTTTTTCCCAAGGAGATAAACGAGCTTTTTTCTTGGTACCAACAAAAGTTTTGGTAGGTCAACAGGCTGACGCTCTAACAGCTGATTCTCTTTTCTCTGTTGGCCGTTTTTCGGGTGAATCGAAAGATGGTTTTGTTGCCTCAATTGATTCCATTTCACATTTCCATTCAATTTGTTTTCGTTGCTCGTAAAGGAAAATATCAATATGTTTCATCTAACTGAGAAACGACTTGCAAATTATCAAAATCCCGATTCTTCGAGTGACCTTTCAAGAGTCAATGATGAAAAATTTTTAAAAACAAACGAACGTGGAATCTTACCTTACAATGAGAGTAAAAATCATGTCATTTTCTATTGTGATCACCTACCTGCCGATGCGTTTACGAGAAAAGTGCCACAAGTCAAGACTGATAAAATTTATTCTTCCTCATCTATCGAGTCCGAACTTTATCGTTGTCACTTGAAACTACCAAAAATATCACCACTTCACAAGTTGGTGATTTCTTGTAGACAATGTTTGGATAAACTATTAAAAAAGTACAATTTGAAAACCGATCGAAGTGAACTTAAGGATTGGGAAAACGAATGTGACTCGCTTAGGAAAGTTTGGAGAGAGGAAAATGAGAGAAACTAACAACAAACGAGAAGCAACAGAATTACCACCCAAACCAGGTACTGGCAAGAAACGCAGTCGATATGGTCTATTCGAAAGTTCTAACAGGTTATAAATCTATGGATTCGCCTTGTTGGCTTTATAAAGTGACCTTAACAACGGTAACAAGTGGTACATCGATTCCTAAGAATCGATTCATTTCTCTTCGGGAGAATCAATATAATTTGGTTCCAAGTTTCTTTCTTGTAATTTAATCACGAAAATGTAAAAGGCGGTAGTGAAAATTAACTTAAGAAAAACAAAGATGTAGAGTGTAACTAATCAGTTACATTAGTAATTAATTTACCAATCATCTTCGAAGTCACAATTAACTTTTGCTCATTAAACTCTTTATATCTTGATAAATCAATTTTTAATTGAAAATTTATTAAAAACCTCAAAATTAAGTAAAGTTACCTAATTAGGCCGAACAAGATCGCGTTTAACGTTTTGATTTTCGTCGCCTATGAGTTGTCATATGCCCATTTAATGACTTTGCACTTGAGCCTTTCCATTCACAACTTTCACATTGGAACTTTTTTTCATCTTCAGTGATTGACTCGGAGACAGTTGGATTAGATAATCTTGTTGATCTGCGACAGTTTGTTGAGTCGCCAAGTGCTTTACTCTTAGACGAAGAGACTGTAGGACATGAGGAAATATTAAATCTAGAGACCATCGATAATAGATTTTCTAAACCATCTTCCATTTTTGTAATCCGAACTTGTAGCTCGATAACAGCAGAAATAAGTTGACCCATCTGAGCTGATGAAGACTTAGAATCAGTTTGGTGGCTTGCTACAGAGAAAAGAGACACTGGGCTATTGATGATTTTACCGATGGACAGTTTTGGGTCTACTTTCTTCAATTCTTTTGTAGATGACACGGGGGTTGAATTGTTAGTGTCGTCCGAAAGTGGAAGATTATAATCGGATGAGTTATCCATCTATTATCAAAAAGGAACAAGATTGTAGCGAGAAGAAATTATTATTTCTACGAAAGAAAAAAATTGGTGAAGGTGAAGGTGAAGGTCGCCCTGTTCAAAGAGAACACAAGAGAAACTGTAAAATATGTTATTCACTACAACAATTTCTTAGAAAATGAAGCGTTGAACATATCAATAGTTTAAATCTACTTACTTGAAACACACAAAGAACACAATTTAATTTAAATTATTATATGTGCTGACAAGTCGGTAGAGACTATTCATTCATCAGTGACTGATTCAGTCTACTAAGACTCAAGATCTGTCCAACATTTACACTTTCAGCTGTTTTTTTCGGCTTAAGATTCGCGGCTATTTGCAAAAAATTAATTAATTAAATTGACTGATAGATTTATTTGATAATTTATGATTGTTACAATTTTTGGTCATAGAAAGTACAAAAAAAGTTCATTTTCATATGTAGCTGGAACCATAAGTTTAATGTTTACACTTGCAGGTGATTGAATCTAATTGTTGAATTTAATTATGTTTGAGGGTGACTATACTTATGAATAGGTGATGGGCATACATACAACGATGGTCTAATTCTTTTAGTTATCTTTTGGGGTCGAATGGTGGCGAGGTTTTCCAAAACTTGGTTCTTCAAAGCTTTTAGATGAACTTCGAGAACTGTTAGAGTGGTAAGTAGGCATTGAAACATCCTGGTTTCTAGATGAACTTCGAGAACTGTTGGAGTGGTAAGTAGGCATAGAAACATCATCATCTGGAACAGCATCACCATATGAAAAAGAACTTTTTGACCAGTACCCTGATGAACTTTGGTCTGACATACTCTCGAAGAAAAAATAGAGTAACACTTTTATGATGAGAAGAAGCAGAATAAACACAAAAATGCTTCAATCATAATTAGTCTGGAAGTAAGAAAAACAATTAGCATTGATCACATGAAAATGAAAGGATATTCTATAACTCTAATTACTGCTTCGCAACATTTTAAATCAAGATTAGACAGCCAAGGAGAAGGGTCGCCGAATTTTAGTTTTGAGTTAAGAGTTGAAATTTTGTGTATTTGTAGGGCCACAAATATGAAGTCCAAATATATTTATTTTTTCCTGATCTGATCAGTAGTTTTCGAGAAAATCGAGTTCGAAGTTAAAACTTCATGTCACTTTTTCTAAGCAACGATAAGTTTTTAGATCATGAAATTTTTATTTTATCGACAACTTTTCATGCCCTTACAGAAAATTAAATTTGTTTTGTTAAAAAAATATCCAAAGTGCTCCGGTCACAATTCCGTTGTATTTAAATAATTAGCGATTAGTCCCAAGTGCTGAGAATGATCTGAAACTTATTTTTGAGACTATCCTAGTATGGGTTAACATGGTTAATCAAACACTTTTTTCGTTTGATCAACAGTTTTACCGGAATGAGAGAATGGCCTTTGATCTTCGAGGCCTAATATCTCCGAAACTACAATACTTGGAGATGTCTAAATAAGTCAAATCGCTGTCATTTAACCAGGGCTGTCAGAAACAATAGTTTTTTGGCCTTAAAAAGTGATGGTCTAGCTGAGACTAAAGTTAATTAAAAGTTATACTACACTCAAGTTATAAACACCCAAATTTTTCATTCTTGCTCGAATGAAATATTATTTCATCAAACATTGTCAAACTATTTATAGCAAAAGTGACTCTATTTTGTTACTAAAGTGCAAGAAAAGAAAAGAAAAGAAAAGAAAGAGATGCACAAAGAGAAGATGGAAACTTATCGATAGATGGCATTAGTTTCTTTTCTTTTCCTTTCTTGTTTTCCTTTAAAAGTTGATTTTATTTCTAATTGTGAACTTGAGTCTCCTTTTATTTGGTGTTTTCCTGTTGTTACTCAATTCCCAGGATTAATTTGAGATCATTTACCATCAGATTATCTTTTTGAAAGCTCTGAATGGTTTGTTTAAGAAACTATCGTTTCTAGTGACTCAATTCCCAGGTCAGATAACAAGGAGATTCTTTGAAAGTAAAGTCTTCGATTCGCTCAGACAATTATATTTCGCTTGGTGGAAATTTCATTATTGTTCAGAACAATTTGAAATTTGCTCACTCACTCACTTGCATCGGCTAACTTCGGAGTCTATCAGTTTTTAACCAAGTAACCGACTGCCGAGAAAATCAAGTGGCGGTCGACCAAAGTCGACTTAAGTCGACTCGGGATAATTTTCGACTAAAGTCGACCTAAGTCGACTAAATCACAGTCGAGTCAGTGATTTCCGCAGTAACTGCGACTCAGTCGATTTAATTGTGACTGACTGACTGGCTTAATCGACTGACTTCGGATTCTATTCTTGATTACATTTGGATTTATTTTTCCTTATCTTTGATTAGATGATCAAAGATTAATTGTTATCCTATTTTTTTAATTGTTTCCTTTCATCTTTGATTAATTTTTGTTCTCTAATTAGTTCAATTATTGTTCTACCAACGTGGTTACGTGATTATTCAGAAAAAAATTGTCGTTTGCTTTCTAGTGAAGAACTGAAATAAACTACTCAATGGAAGGATGTAAGTAAACGAGAGGAATTTAATGTTTTTAGGTTAATTGTTAATTGTCCTTAGTAATTTTGCCAATTTTGCTAATTGTTATCACATAGTTAACGTGGTATATTGATTTAGGAACGTTGACGCTATGGTGACATTTATTTTCTGATCCATAGTCTTCTTAGAATTTTAATTTACATTTGTTATTAATCTTTTCTATTCTCTCTCTTTGTATCTTTAACAATAAATTTAGTTCAAGATAAAGGTTCAGTTTTGGCCTATGGATTCGCCTTTGTTTCATTGGCCTATGCTGCTTACACTAAATGGCAAGTGTGTTCATTGGGCTCAAAGATAAATCATTCTATTCAAAAGGATAACGCTAAAGTTGTACATTCATTTGACATTGAAGATTTGGGAAAAAATGAAGTTTTCTGCCGATGTTGGAAATCAAAGAAATTCCCTTATTGTGATGGAGCTCATAATGCTCACAACGCCAAATGTGGTGACAATATTGGTCCACTAATCATCACCCGAAAAACAGCCTAAATTTAAACATTAGCATCTTTTTTTTATCCACAATCACTAGAATTATGCATTAGGACATCCTATTGGTAAAACTATGGAAAAATAATCAGAAAAAATTACTTCAACTATCTGAAGTTATCTACAAATGCAACACCCAAACTTATCTTACTAAACAAATATTTAATTGTTGTTACAGTGCAACTCTAATATTCATTAGATTGATGGATTAATTGTTTCTTCCTTTATACAATTAGATTGATTAAAGGATTCATAATTCACGCTAATCATGCAAAATGTTAATCTTAAAATGTTAATCTGATTGAGAAAAACATAAGTAAATCCTAACAGGAAAAACTTAAATGTGAAATTGAATCAAAAACTTCACAATCAAATCAATTAACCATTTAACTGGAATCAAAGTTTGACATTAATTGAGAAACAAATTGTCACAGTTTATTTTTCCTCAACTTCAACTTTCAACCTTTTAACGATTAAATTGACGAAAAAAAAATCGGGAGAAATTAAATTTAACTTAAATTAGGTGAATCAGATGATTAAGTTTCACTAATTGTTGATTAATAATCAAGAATTAAACATAACCCTAGCTAATCAATTAACTCGATGGAGTGAAAAAAAATTTCATCGAAAGTGTTACAAAAGTGAGAACGATTATAAAACTAATTCTCTTTTCGTGATAGAAATGATTATATAGAAATTAAATTAACTCTAAACAATTAATTAATTGCGAAAAAAATAATTGTGATCATTTAAATTTAGGAAATTGGAAAATCGATAAACAAAAACTCATTCAATTGAACTTGTAATGTGATTATTTAACATTACGATCAGTTGACTATGGTGACGACAAAGTATGTTAGTTAATTGATTTACTGATTAGAAATTATTTCAATCAAATTAATTGTTTAGGAAAATCAAGAGAATTAAAAATTGCGGTGGTAACCATGGCAACTAATTAACTCGGTTGATAAGTTAACATGTGAGAGTGAAACAAATGGAAAGTGTTTTTTAATTTTCTTGTTTATTTTTATCTTGATTGTGATTTAATTGTTTGTGTGTCTTTAATTTCAATTATTTATTGTTTAATTGTTTGGTTAATTGGTTGAATTGTTCGCTTGTTGTTATTCTGTTTTGATTCTGTTGTGTAGATTTGAATATTTTGTTGACTGAAATGTCTCGACCTGAGTATCAGGCTCCGCCGGAATTTTATTATAATGACGTTGAAGCTAAAAAATATACTAGGAATTCACGGATAATTGAGGTTCAGTGTCAATTGTCTGAACGAGCTCTTGAAATTTTAGCTCTGCCAGAGGGTGAAACTGCTCACCTTCTTGATCTTGGCTGTGGTTCAGCTCTTTCGTCATCTGCAATTGAAGAAGCCGGTCATTCATGGGTTGGTGTTGACATTTCACCCGCCATGTTGGATGTTGCCTCTACTCGTGACCTCAAATCTGGTGACCTGGTTCTTGGTGATCTAGGGCAAGGGTTACCCTTCCGTCCTGGTACATTTGACGGAGCCATTTCCATATCCGCTCTCCAATGGCTTTGTAATGCTGATAAAAAGTGTCACAATCCTGTTCATAGATTGAAAAGGTTATTTGAAAGTCTTTATTCATGTCTTGCTAGAGGAAGTCGAGCTGTTTTCCAATTCTATCCCGAAGATGATAAACAAGTTGATCTGATCACCACTCAAGCAATGAAAGCGGGTTTCACCGGTGGCTTACTTGTTGACTATCCAAATTCAACGAAAGCCAAAAAGGTTTACCTTGTCCTTTTCACTGGTGGAGATAATCCAGTGATGCCTAAACCCTTGATGAATGAACATGAGATGAGCTCGAACAATGGACCTTCTGAAGTCTCCAATATTAATCGTCGAATGAAACAGAAACCCGTTCGTGGTAAACCACCGAAAAAATCTCGAGAATGGATTCTAGCAAAAAAGGAAAGGAGAAGACGTCAAGGCAAAGATGTACGAGAAGACACCAAATACACTGGTCGAAAGCGAAGTGGACGATTTTAATCAACTAAAACACCAACAATTGAATTCCCTCAGAAAACAAAATAAAACACTCATCAAACCCCCACGGTTACTGGACCTACAATCAATTTCTGGAGCAAATCCAGTAAACTTTTTTACGTTGAGAGTAAAAAAAAAATCAATCAAACACCTTCCAACCATGAAGAAATGGTCAATCAGTGACAATTAACTCTTTGAATATTTATATTTTCACTCTTTTAATTGTTAAACCTTAACAAGAAAAGAGATGTAACAAAATCTATTTGTATTTAAAATGTAAATTAACTGAAAAGTAAAGTAAATAAGTGAAACAAATAACGTCTTAATAATTTTCTCAATCAAAGTAATCAAAAAAACCGATTTCATGGTGATTAAGGATCGAAATAAAAAAAGAATCAATTGACAGCAAACAAATTAAACTAATCACAATCAACCAATAAATTCTCATTAAAAACACAAACTGTTACTAATTAGCAATTGATTCTAATCAAATGAATATTAATAAGAAAGAAAAAAAAAGTCAACTAAAAGTGACCAATAAAAAGTACAATCAACAATCACGATTATGTACTGTCCGATGAACGAAGCAATTAACGATGGTTGATAGAAATCAACTATTTAAATGAGAATAATCTTAATTATTAATTCATTTAGACTCCAATCATCAACTAATCAACTTGAAAATGCTCATCAATCAATTCCTACCAATAGTAAGTGTTTATCGTTTATATTGATTGTTCAATAGTTTTAGAAAAGGAAAAGTTTTTCTAATTGTTTCTTTTTCAATTCTTGCAATTTAATCAAATTTAGGTATCATGTGTACTAATTATCTTACCAGTGTTGATCGAGGGAAATCATCGTAACCCAGACTCGAGGAATCAACGAGATGCTAAATTTAGAGTTGGCAACAAATTGGTAACTAAACGACAACTTCATGGTCACATAATTGAAACACCGATAAGTGAAGAGGTTGCTTTAATTGAGCAACAACCTCAACCTCATCTTCATCATCAACATCAACCTGTTGTTGTTACTCATCCAAGTTCAGTTGAAATAATTCAAGAACATCACCAATTTGATGAGATTCCAAGGTATTCATCACATCCACCCACTGATTCAATAATTGCAACTCATGGGCCTTTGATCACTGCCACTACTCCTCCACATCATCATCATCATCATCAACAGCCTTCCCATCATCATCTTAATCCTCAGCATCTTCATCTTCTACCTTTGGTCCGTCCGGTTGTTAACCCAATTCATTTACCTGTTGACGTTCAAACTTCAACAAAGGTCGTTGAAGTTTCAGCAATTAACTCAGACACTGGACACAGTCATAGATTAGGTGCTTTTGCTGTTCAACCATTAATTGATCATCTTCATCTTGGCAGGATTAAAAATCTTCCTCATCACCACCATCACCACCCACAAGCAGCAATAATTTCCCTCCGGGGTCAACCAAAATCTCGAGTTGAAATGTTCCAACAACAGTCAATTGAAACTCTGGATCCAATCGAGGAAATCGGTACACCTTCTGATCCTAATCAACGATCACCCAGTAATCAGCCATCAGGTTATTTCGAGCAACAATCAATTGATTATCCAAGAAATTCAAGATTATCCTCCCCACAATCAACTAAATTCACTAAATTTAACCAACAACCAGAGCCAATAGTTAGTGAGAAAATTGTTTACACTCCATTAAGTGATGGTCATCCTCATGTCCATCCACTTCAACCAGCTCGATTAATCATTGAAGATAATCATCATTCACACAATTCCCCGCAATCAGCTGCTTTAATTGTTGAAACACCAAATCATCAACATCATTTGGTTGAATTAACACCAACAACTACTCAACATCAATCTCATTCTGCTGTTAAAACAAGTCACTCGGTAAGTAAATTGCAATCAAATTTTTACAAATGATTAACATGGAGCCAATTAATTTATATGAATGTTGACAATTTAACTGAATTATGATGAAAAACAATAACCCTTTTTTTTCATCATTAGAAGTGTTAATAACCCGGAAGATGTTAATCTAATTCCAGTTAATATCGATTATCATGATGATTGTTATTAGTATTTCAATTGCAATTCTTACGATGATTAGAGTAATTTGAGAAAATGTGTTAAATTCAATCACAATTAATATTAACCATTAGATGATATTAATTTTATTCATTGACAAGAGTTACCTCTTTTTTTTGCTCATCAATCTATTGAGATGTTTATTTATAACCACGAACAGTATTTATACAATATAATACATTTGAATTATTCAATATTATATTATCATCATCATTATCATCATCTTCATCTCATCATTTGGTTTTGTTTATGTGCGAGACGAAAGTGTTTGACAGATTGAAGAGAAAGATGATGATGATGATGAGAAATACAATATTTATAAATTGATGAAGAGTAGGGTAGGAAAGAGGCGGGTGAACAAAGTAATAAAATTAGTTAATTAAAATCGAGAATTGTTCATGAAGATGAAGGGAATTGAAGATGATGAGGATGCCATGGATTAAAATGAACAAAGAGAATAGAGATGAAAATGAGAAGAAAATGAGAAGAAAAAGAGGAAATGGATTCTGACAGAAAAAGAAGAAGATAAAATGATGATAAATCGAGATGAAGAAGATATTGTATTTAGAGTAGAAAAGGGGGTTTACAGAACAAGGCTAAGAGTGAGAGAGTGAGAGAGAAGAAGATAAAAGATAAAAGAACATTTAAAATGCGAGAAGGCAATTTGATACTACTGAATGATAACTAACTCTCTCTACTATTACACTTATTAAGATCAGTATGACAGTAGAAGTGTTGATAATCATAGTAATTACTTTTTCTTGTTGAGCGTGAAAATCAAAGGTAATAAGAAGAAGACAAAATAGAAGGAGAAAATCAATCGGCACTAATGAAGATGATTAGATGATGATGATGATGTCGATGAGTAGAGCAGCAAAAAACAAGAGGGAAACAGCAAAACAGTGAGAAGGTGAAAAAAAGTGTCAACACTTTGAAACAATTAGCGTTTGTTGAGCTATACATACATCGACAATAATATATGTATTAGTGATGAAATCCCATCATGTTGATCATTTAATCTTGTAACTCGTTTTTGTGTGTGTGTGTGTATTTAATTGTTGATCATCTCTCTCATCAATCCATCTTTTTGATCAGTCTCTCTTTTTTTTGGTATCCCTTTTCCACTTGAGATGATGATTATAAAAAAAAATTTTCGCTGATTGTTCCGGTTTTGGCTTGTAATTAAAAATGTTTAGTTAATTTGTTTTCTGCTTGTTGATACTGTCGATTGATTATTATTATAGTTGAAAGGCATCTTAATTAGGACTTTGGTTTACGTTGATTCTGCAGTGATTGTAATCATGTAAACGATGATGATGATGATGATTATTATTGTTTCTCTCCTTTGTCTTTGTGTGTGAGTTTCTTTCATCACTATTTACATGATTGAAACTGAACAATCATATTTACAGAATTACAGAAGAAGAAAAATCGATTGGTAGGGCGTAAGAAGAAGAGATGAAGATATTGGGAAATATTAAAGAAGGAGAAGGAAGAGAGAGAGAGAGAGAGAAAAGGTAGAATTTGGAAAAATAAAAAGGGAGGAGAAGAGGGAAGATGATGAAAAGATCAACGACCTTTTTTTTCCAATGTATACTAATAACACAATGGAGAGAAAGGATTTCAGGTGAGAATCAATTGTTATCGTAATTATGAAATGATTAACAGAATAGTTTCAAGGATCATTCAAATTAACGTGACTTCCTCTCTTTTCGTTGATTTAACAATCTATTAAAAAGGATTACTGGACATGGAGATTTGTTTTCTTCTCACCAAAGAGCAGAAAACTTCCTACTCCTTTTTTTCTGATCAATTATCATCTTCCTATTTCTCTTCCTTTTCTCTTGTTATTTACTGTCATTGTTGGTGATTGTTCATTGTTTTCATGATAAAAATATATACTAAATTGCAATTTCATTGCGATTCCATATATTATTATATCATAACGGACATAATAACATGTAATATTAATAGAGATATTTCTTGATGAATAAATCGATTCTCTGATCGTTATTATCATCATGGAAAGAGAGAGAGAGAGAGAGAGAGTCTTGAAAGCTTTTTCAAGGATGATATTCAGTATATTAGGTAAGTTTTTACTTCCTAGTATTGCTCCCTCATCTATCTCTCTCTTTCTCTCTCGCTAAATCGTATTTTACTCTCTTAATGTCACTGGAGTTCCATCAAGAAATTAAGAGTTCATTGGAAGAGGAAATTAAGGAAACGGAAAAAGGAAAATGGTTTGATAAATGATTATCGAGAAAAGCAGTTTACATAAATAGCTAATATTTTTAGAACAAAAAGTCTCATATCAAGATAATCGTCAATGGTTATTGTTGGTCTTCCTCTTTTTCTCATGATCTTTCTCAGTATCAATTTCAAGAATCTGATTGTGAGTTTGCATAATCTTGTTAACATTAAATTGATCGTTAGCATAATTAACTAATACTAATAAATTCTCAGTTGAAAGAGAATCAGAATAGGAGAGAAAGTTGTGAGATCGTAAAACATGAGTATTATTCTGATCTGAAACTTTGTTTCTTTCTTATTCCAATTGTCAGATCAAAGTTTGAATCTATTATTTTCTAACGATTGATGTTCTATGTTTGTTTTGTTATCTGAGGATTTTTTTTGTTATCCCCTTAATTTGATTCATTTGATAATCACAATAGTAAATTGTTGTTCTTTTTGATTAACTCACTAACAATTAAAATACATATTTGAACTCTCTTTTCATCCCCACTTTGTATTATTAGGGCTTTAGATAAATTCTTGGCTTATTGTTGTTTACTTGTCGCATTAATGAAAAAAAAAGATGACAAGTAAAAAGATATTATAATGAATTAACAACGATTAGAGGAGGAGGGTTCATGTTCATATGTATATATAAATGTTTGTGAGTTATTAGGATGTAAGTTTACATGAGGTTAATCATGACTAATTGCTAGAAAAAATTAGTTGAAGAATAATAGAGTAATTAAACAAGATTAAATTGTACGAACCAATTGATTGATCAATGAGAGGATGAAAGTAAAGAAAATGATTAGATTGGAAATAGATGAAAACAAAATGAAGATAAACTAGAGATGGTAATGAGTCAATTTCTAAGGGAGAAAATGGGGAAAAAGGGAGAGTGGGAGAAGTGATTTATTCATGTCTTTGAGTGAGGTAACCTAAGATCATGACCAAATCGATGATGATGAATACCATTTCCATAATTAATATGAGATAGACAGTTGAAACTATCTCTTGATGTTTCTTCGCATTCATCCATTCCTTCAGAATAATCTGATTCAGTTGGGTGGGTCAGGAAATGATAAGTTAATTTCGTTGGCCAAAGGAAATGTGCCATTATAGCATAGGCAAGGAAATTAACTAGCAAAGAAAACACTAAAGTAGAAAAGAGAGAGAGAAAAACAAATTAAAGAACATTAAAAATTATAAGTGATAATGAATATGATTTATGTGAATTATATGTCAATTAATGAGTGGTAACTGCATGTAAAGTAATTAAAACGATTAGATAAATAGTAAATATGTAATATAGCAAATAAAAGAAATGATAATGACGACGTACCGAAAATGAAATTATATTTCCACTCAATTGATGTTTGAGATCCTATGAAAACAATTATCGGTAGGTAAACAAACCAAACCATGATACCGACTCCAAAGTGAAGGTAAAATCGTAACTTTTGTTGATCTTGTTCTAACATCATGGTTGCTCGAAGTTCAAAAAGAAACCACATCATGATTATGATCCGTAAACCCAGACTAATCCATCCTGGAACCGTTAGATAGATATCATCTTCACTAACTTGACTCAAAGTTCCCTAAAAATTAATGACAGATAAAGAAAAAGTCAAGGACCAAGCAAATCCAAATATTGATTAGAAAATTAAAAATTAATCACAATAAAATAAGGTATGAACGGTAAAGTTTGGGAATAGTGTGGACTAACTTTTTAGCGATTTGAGTTATTTTCGAAATTTTTTCGATCTCATTCGATGAGGAATAAGATTTTGCTGAGATATTGAGAATTTTTTTTCCAGAAATTTTGTGGTTCCTCAAGATATTGCGTCATTTGGTTGAAAATGACGAAATATCCGGTTGAAAATTCTTCCTTAGTTTCCGGTCAAAATACATGAAATTTTTTTTTGTAATTAATTCTGAATATGGAAATAACACTCAGTATTCCATTAATTGACCGATTTTGACCATAAGTAATCTTCGATTAAAGTTTAGAACATTTGTCCAGAGCTACCTCTGAAAAATATGACAATTTATTTTCGACATACATTCGAAAAATCGAATTTTCGATGCTTTGATTTGATGCAATATTCGTGAAAAGATACACAATTGAAGCTCAAAAGTTGATTAATAATTTCATATAATTTCAAGAAATTTAATCGAAAATTAAATTCACCATAATAGTTTGAAAATTTTATTCCCAAACTTTACCGTACATACCTTAATAATAGATCAAGATAAAAATAGACAGAGTTTCAATTTTACCTTTGTCCAACTGTATAATAATATTTCTGAAGCTAAATAAGCAAACCAAGCCATAGCTACGAGAGGTTTTGCCGATACCTCAGATCGGGTTATTGGCCATCCTTTGGCAATTATAAGAACAAATAAAATGAATAAAGCCTGTAACAATTTAAATAGAGAGAATTGGAAACAATTAGTGTGATCGGGGAAACGGTTAGTTAAAACGGTTGAATGTAACTTTGCAAAGTAAACAGGTAAGGGAGGAAAAAAAACAAGATCTTTTGATTTTGAAATGAAACAAAAAAATTGGTTAAGAGAGTAAACAATTGAAAGTGACAAGTGGATAGATTGTGATAGTAACTGTTTGATTTGATTTGTTTGATTAGATTGATGTGGCAACGTACCAAGGCTGAAATTCGTAAAATATCTACAATTAATGGCATCAAATTGGGTTCATCATTGTCTGAGCGAAAGAGTATTGCATCAAGAGTACTTAGAAATAGCGCTAATGTGTACATTTCCAGTGAAATTGTGAACAGATAAACCAAAACATTTCGTGTTCGTTGGCGGACAAAGGCATAAGCTTGAATTAGTGTTAGAGTTAAGTAAAGAATGAGTATAACCAGTGAGAATATCCAACTCTGTTGAAGGAGAAAAGAGATGAGGAAAATGAAAGAGAATGATAAAAATAAGAGTAAATCAGTTGAGACATTTGCGTGAGATGTAATAAAACAAAATCAAGATCATGAAGAGCAACTTGCAATCTTCAATCATGTAAAAATGTCAAATAGTGAGAACACACGAAGAGAGAATGACAGAGAGAGAGAGAAAGATTACAAATTGCCCATGAAAAAAAGGGAAAAATTAATTCCACATATGTAACAATTAATTATGATAATATTAATGATAATTACTTTGTCCAACAATTCAGACTCGATGCCGTCAAAATCGGATTTAATGGACGATATTGAGGTTATATTCATAAGCATCATCATGGTATCTGATGGAGGAGAATCAGGTGAAACTGAAGAGGAGGAATTCATTGGTGTTGGTGAAACAACAACAGTATCAGCAGATGTTGAAATTAATGATGAGTTAATTGCCATTGTATAATTGGAAAAACAAATTTTCTTCTCATAAAATCACAATAAAATGTAACAAAAATATACACAATTTAAATATCATTCAAATGATCGTGATGGGGGTAAAGAGTATAGCAAAGAGATAAAACAATTTGAATCACTTGATATAACCACCTCACACACAAAAAAAATAACACCCTGAGAGATTATTCAGAGGATAAAAAAGGGAGAATCACCGGAGAAGATGATTTTACAAAATAAGAAGGCAAAAAACCTGAAATTAGTGAATAATTAATATATATAAAAAAAAATGTAATTGAAGAACAATTGAAAAAGAAGAAGAATAAAATTACACTAAGAATTTAACACAGATGATGAAAGAATTAAAAACTGGATTGGAAAATGATGAGAGAGGCAAAAGAGAATAGAATGTTGTTAACCATGAGTAATCCAAGTGTTAATTGTGTTTTACTTTTTGTTTTTCTAATCACAATCAAAGAGAAACGTTTCAAATTAAGACCCAGTAAATCACAATCTTAAATTCAATTACCGATTAATTGGGAACAGAAAATAAATAGATATAAAAAAAGAAAAACAATTCAGGTTAAAGTGAATTTTCAATTGGTCGACTTTGTTTCACTTAACCTGAAGAAGAAAAAGTAAAGAATTGATCTGCGCATGCGCAGAGAAAAAGTTCTTCGATTTGTGTGGCCTCTCGTGGAAAATAATTCAACTATTGAATAGGATCAAGTTCAACGATTGAACTTCAAAACAAAATTGGAACTTCGTCAAGTTGTAACATTCTGAGTATTTACATGAGTAATTTATTTTAGGAAATAGATGATAAACAACATTGACAATTCTCAAAGTTGTCAATCGTTTTTTCCATTGGATTTTCCTGAGCAATGTAACAAGTTTAAATTCCAATGTCTAATAAGATTGTAAATAGATTTAGATTAGATTAATTTTGTTTATTTACTCAAACTGACCATTTGACTGAATCAAGATATCAGATTAATCTTTAGTTTGTCTTGAACAACAACAACAAAAAGAAAATAGTTAATCTTCAAAGTTAATTAACAAACTATCCAAGATTAGAAACTATTTTTGTTATTGAGGAAAATTATTACAAATTAGAGATTAGATTTGAAAACATCAATCGAGAAGAAGGAAGAAAAAGTTGATTAGCTCAAAGGGAAGAAGTGAAAAGATCAAAAGATCAATTAGAATTCCTTATCCTCGAGCTTATAACAAATTCTAATCATCATCGATCGATCGGTGATCTTTTTTTTTGTCGAATTTGCTTCAAAGTAAAGTTCGTTCGAAAAGTGATAGATTTTCCATATTTATCAATGCAACCAACGGTTCCATAGGTTAACAAAAACTTTCAATCATATTTACAGTTGATAACAGTAATTAACTTGATGGAATCTGTTAATTGTTGTTAATCAGTAAAAAAAAAATTCTTTTTCCATTTGTATGCTGCCATCTATGAATTCGATTTCTAACTATTTAAGTATCGATATTTTCTCCAACTACTTGATATCGTTCTCTAAATGTATCGATATTTTTAATTAATTTTCTATTCTCTTTGTTAATTGCGTTTCGATTAATTATCTCTCTTTACTTTTGTTAACTAATCTAAGATTTTCCGTGAAACAATTTAAATGGTTAATTCTTGAAGAATCATTTTCTCTCCTTCATATTTGGCGTGGAAAAATAAATTATTTCAAATTGTTTTATTCTCCGGGTTGAAAGATAGAATATCGGTTTTGTGAATATCTGATCTGTTTAACACATTCGGACATTAATTGTGTGTGAGTAAAATTTTAATTAACTCACCTTTATATTACATTCTGATTAATTGCAACATTAATCGTTAGTTATTCTCACTAGTTCAACTCATTTGTTTAAGTGGTCTCACTACTTTTTCTTAAACTACTAATTTATTCATCAATTTCATCGATTGTTTTCCTTTGTTTCCTATTCAAGTGGTTTTATCATTTTTCGGTTTTTGTTCATTTTCTTTTAGCTTTTTACCTGTTGAGTGAAACTACTCTTGGAAATTGTAACAATGCCTAAATCCAGTGTCAAAAGTAACAATAATCACCATCACCATCACCGACATCTCACCAATAATCACCACCAACAACCAAATCACACAAGTAACCATAATTCAAGCCTGATCAATAGTCCGGATAGTTCACAACAATGTAACAATGGTAATAATAATAATAATAATACTCCACACCTTCAGAATAAGGATGCTTCTAAACGGTTAAAAAGGAAGTTGCGACTTCAAGAGATGAGGTGTAATTTAATGTCCACCAAAATGACAGAGTTGAAGACTGCATTGTCCACCAAGAAGAGACAATTACGAGTTAGTGAAAAGAAAGCAAAAGACGAGGAGAAAAAGCGTCGAGATGAGGAGAAAAAAATGAAAGACATGGAGAAGGAATTTCATCGTTTAAGAAAAGAAAATGATCAGATAAAAGAAAATCTTACTCGAAACCAAAATGTCAATGCAAAATCTTCAGTAACTGCTACCACAACACCAATAGTGTCTCAACCTCATCAACAACAACCTCAAGCTTCAACATCACATTCAAGCTCAAATAATAATAATAATTCATGTTCACAGTCTTCATTTACTACAAATCTTCTTGCAGGTACATCATCTGTTCCAAATAGTAGTAATAAGAATAAGAACAATAAACAGAATAAAAGAATGGCAGCTTTAGCTGACAATTCCCCTCAGGTACAAGGACAAACCTCAAAATCATTGGCCAATAATGTACCAATTCCAATGACAATTGGAACCAATAACGTCGGAAATTCAAAGAAAACCGGAACAGCAACACCTTCCAAGCCTTCAACATCTAAAGATTTACGTATCAATGAGGGTGCCTCATGTTCTGGTATCAATAATACAGCGATAATCTGTTCGGATGCCTCAAAGGACAACGTGACCACCAAAAATGATGTTGGTTTCTTTGGTACATCCAAATTGGAAGACCTTTTTGAAAATGAATTAATGTGTGCCATTTGTCATGAACTGTACATCAAACCGGTCGCTTTATCATGTTCTCATATTTTTTGCTCCTTTTGCATTGAACAATGGCGTAAAAAGGCTCATAGGTGTCCCATTTGTCGGAATATGATCTTGGACAAATCACCTCAGAATGTGTTAGAAAATGTGATTGATAAGGTTGTTTCCACCATGGATGAAGACTCAAAAAAGAGGAGATCCGATGTGATTAAAGATCGGCCCATTTCCATTGAACCTAATAGATTTTCTAGAAATGATGGAAGTAAGTATTTTATTTATTCTATTTTACTCTTTACTCTTTCATATTTGATCTTCTAATATTTATTATTGTCTTTTCTGTAGGTCGACGTGACCGTATAATTATGAATTTAGGAAATGATTGGAGAAATTTAGCCGAGTATGTTGATCGGTCAGATTCTTATAGTGACTCGGACTCGTACATACCATCATATTCCTCAGCGCTTCCTGCCAATGGTACTTTTCAATCAGACTCTGATCTTGATTTTGACTCTGACATGGATCAAGAACACATTTTCAGTCCCATCTTTCGTCATGATCCCTATGGTTATGATATTGAGGAATACGATGATCAAGATACTAGTGGTTCAGATGATGACAATGAAGAATACGAGGATAATGATGATACTGAGGATGCTGAATATACAACTGATGAAAGTGATATTTATGGCCTTGGTGGTGATGGTATTGGAGAAAATTATAATTTTGATCATGATTCAAGTGTTTCTTCATGGGAGGTTGATCATAGTTGGCAATCATCTGGACAAAACTCACCCATCATTATAGACAGTGATGGGAACAGCTTTACCGAATCCATTGATTACAGCAGAAATTTTGATAATGATAATTCAATTTACACCGTAGACCTTAGTGGCCAGGAAGAAGAAGATGAAGATGATGAAGAAGATGAGGAAGAAGAAGAAGAAGATGATGATGAAGAACAAGAATTTGATCACGGAATTGAAAGTGAAGAGGAAGAAGAAGAAGAGGAAGAAGAAGAGGAGGACGAAGAAGAAGAAGAAGATGAAGATGATGATGATGATGATGACGATGAAGAAGAGGAAGATGATGATGATGATGAAAGTGGTGATGGTAGTTTATTAGTTCCAGCCACCGATTCAGATCCTGATGATTCTGTAAACGGATCACCCTGGGAATCAATGGATATGACAGAAAGTGACTCAGACCTTTGAAAACACTATTGTTATAACCACAACACTCTAATTTCTATTATTATTATACTATTATGATCTTTATTATTTAGCATAACCTATGTATCTAAATTGCAAAATTTTGTTATTTATCCCCTTTCTCCTTCTTTCTCTATCACACTTTCAAAAAGTCAAACACTTTCATTCAAACTCTTCATAACAAAATAATTTCTATCACAAATCATTTTTACTTTTTCTCACCAAGAAAACAAATATGGAAACAAAAACTAAAATCTATTCCGAGAAAAGTAACTCTGATTATCCAAACAATTTGTCGAATTGCAGAATGAAATGTTTAATTCTTTACCTATTTGTCTTTCCTGATGATTGATAAAATTGATATAAAAAAAGTAAATTGTCTTTGCAAAGAAAAACATTCAAATAATAAAACAAGAAAATGATTTCAATGTATCTAAATTCACAATTATCATTGAAAATCTCAGAAATAACTGAAAAATATTAAAGGAAATCAGTTGAAACAATTAATATAAATCATTTAATTTTCCATTTCTATCTAATTTCAGAAAAAATTTTCAATTTCAAACAAAAATAAAAGTTCTACGAACTTGAAAACCTCGATAAAGAATCGATTGAATTTCTGTTCATTAAATAAATTGCGATTAAAGACAAACTCATCTCGGTTGTTAATTAAATCTTAGAGAAGTAAAAATTAAACAAAACTCATAAGATTGTGAATAACAATTAACAATTAACTAAGATCATTAACACTCATCAATTTGTAGCTAATTCATCTTAAAATAACTATGAAATTGATCCGATGTTTAAACTCAATTAAAAAACGATTAAGAAGTAACTTGAATAACCAACAATTAGAAAACCGATAAATCAATAAACATCGTTAATTGTGAAATTAAATCTTCATATCTGATTACATTTCAATGATAATCAAAGAGAAAAAGAAAAAGCAACAACACTTAATCTCTCAATTTAAATTTCTTTCTAAAATTAGTTACATTATACATTAGATTATATATAGAGAATAATTAATCAAACTAATAAAAAAATTCTTAATTGTAGTTAACAATCAGAGAGAATGTATAAGAATTTGTATTAACCGCTTAACTTTGTGTTGAATTTTCTCTCTCATTCTGATTGGTTGTTTTTCTTTTTTCTTTCTTTTCTCTTTCTTTTTTATTCTCTACCGAGATTCTGACAAACGAAAATCAGATTCTCTTTTTTATTTGTTTTCTTTTTTTCTTCCCAAAAATCTATACAATTTGTTCATGTAATTAATTTATTGTTAAATTAATTTTCTCTCCTTTTCTATTGTGATTATCTTTAAGTTATAAAATTGAAGCTTTTCTATTTACTTCCATTGGAAAGTTAAAGGTCTTCAGGATTACTCATGGTTCCACCTTTACCTTCATCTTCTCGAGATAATCTTGCATCAGTCAATCTCTTTCATTTATCAATATTTTCTATTGGATTGTAATCTTTCAGTTTTTCTCTTTGATAAATCAGTTCTATTTTTTTCTCTTTGTTGGTTTTTTCTTCTTCTATTCAATCTCATTTCACTCGATCATTGCACTAACATAAACCTCTGTGAATCAGGATTGATTTTCTTTCAGTGATCTAATTATAACTGTGCTTTCATAATGTGTTATCACCTTTAGACTACTTTACACTTGCTTACAACTACAACATCACTATTGTGGTTGGTTGTAAACTCTGTTGTTTTCATTTTCATCTTCTCTGTTAATTTATAAATAACCAGTTGATTAACTGCTTGATGGTTGTGTTTATTTACCTCTTGCTGTAAACCCGATGGTAATGATATCTGTTGGTTACTACTTGCTTGGTAATATTATTGATAAATTATGGATTTTACATCGGAGATAACAGATTCTTCATTACTTGAATCTACAAAATTAATGGGACCAACAACTACAACAACTAATGTTTACAATGGTAATTCTAAACATAATGAGGATAACATTAGTCAAGAAAATTTTTCTAGCGATTTGTCTAGATTAGATTTTGAAGCTATGCTTAATGATGATGGTCAGTCACCTTTGTCTTCATCTCAAATCAATCAAAAGTCCAAGAGTAACCCATTGTTGGATCAACTATTGGATAAACCCATGGATAGTGGTGAATTAGGAATTTTTGGTTACTCTGGTAATTATGGGGATGCCTCTCCCCCTGAAGAGCCCGCTCAATCTTTCATAACTGAGGAGCAAAACAGTTTTTTTGATATGTGTATGGAAACTCCTTATCCTCTTTCTAAGGCCCACTGTGGACCTGATGGTGCCTCAGATCCTGACGAAGATATTGAACAAGAGGATAATAAAAATGGGGAAAAAGATTTGGAGAATGAAGACAAAGATTCTGAGAACAGTGATGAAGATGATGGCGAAGACGATGACGAAGATAATGAAGAAAAAGAAGAAGGAGAAGACGAGGGAGATGGAGAAGATGGTGAGGATTATGATGGACAAGAAGAAGAGGAGGAAGAAGAAAAAGAATCGTCAGATAATGAAGCTGAAGCTAAAGAGAATGGAGATGAGGAAGACAAATTAAGTGAAACAATTGAAACATCTGGTGATGTCCAGTTAAAGAGTGAAGACAAAAAACGAAAAACTCGCCAAAAAACAACATCAAAGTCTAATGAATCATCCGAGAATGATGTTAAAGACAAAAAGGGTCAATCTGATAATGGAAAAGGTAAACGTAAACGTAAGGGAGTCAAGAGGAAATCCGACAAATCTCCCGGCAAAGATGAAAAAAACAAAAAGTCTAAAAGGTACATGATGAGAAAAAACATTAAGAAGATAATCTCAGACGGTGATGTTAATGCGAAAACCCTTAAAGCTCAAGCAGAGGAAGCGGAAAGATTAAGAAGAGTAGAGGAAAGAGCTGCCCTGATGAAACAACAAAATCAACATTTATTACAAAATAGTCAAGAAGATGTGATGATTTTAAGCAGTGATGAAGAAATTACCCCTTGCCATTCAGGGTATGGCTTGAAAAACAATGGATCTGATGCTGATGTAATCGAAATAGCATCAGGAGATGATTCCTTCAGTGATGATGATCAATTCCCTCCAAATGATTATAATAATAGTACCATAAGTGTTTGTAGTAGCAGTGGTGGCAGATCTGCCAAGAGAGATTCGCACAGAAGAAGAAAACAAGGAGGTGAAGATGTTGAATATATTGACACCAACAACGATGGTGCTCATACTGATGATAGATTCAACCAACCAGATGAGGAAGGTCGAGTTTTGGTCAATGTTGGTCATCCCGCTGAAGAGGAACCCATCTACTTGGCTTCTCAACTGGGTAAAGCCGTTAAACCTCATCAAATTGGTGGAATCCGTTTTTTGTATGATAACATAATTGATAGTCTTCGGAGACACCGAACTTCTGATGGAATAGGTTGTATTCTAGCTCATAGTATGGGTCTTGGTAAAACACTACAATTAATCTCGTTCATCGACATTTACCTAACCCATACTCAGTCCAAACATGTTCTGTGTATTGTGCCCATTAATACTCTTCAAAATTGGATGAGTGAATTTGATATGTGGTTACCTTCAAAAAAAGTTTCTGCCTTCAAGCTTGATTCAGATGCGATTAAATTTCGCCAATTCGATGTATTTATGTTAAATGAGTGTAAAACACTTACTTCTAGAGCCAAAGAAATTCGTAAGTATTATAAATCTAATTACCTTGACTACAATACAAACTTTTCCCTTAATTTGCTCCCTTCTTTCAGTTGAGTTAATTTACTTGCCTATTGATCTTTAAACTTGTTTATCTACTTTTAATTATAGTTGCATGGAGGAAAGCCGGTGGAGTTTTGTTAATTGGTTATGAAATGTACCGATTATTAACTACCGATGGTAAAACTGCTCGAGGTAAAACGAAAGCTAAAACTAAAGAAATTGAAGATTTACCCCAAGAAGTTTACGACAATTATATGCGCCAATTGCAAGAAGCATTAGTTGACCCTGGACCAGATCTTGTTATATGTGATGAAGGCCATAGGATAAAAAATTGTAATGCCGCCACCTCGTTGGCATTGAAAAACATCCGAACCCGAAGACGAGTGGTTTTAACTGGTTATCCCTTACAAAATAATCTCATTGAATATTGGTGCATGGTTGACTTTGTCAGGCCCAATTTTCTCGGTACCAAACAAGAATTTTGTAACATGTTTGAAAGGCCAATCAGTAACGGTCAGTGTGCGGACAGTACAGCGGAAGATAAACGGGTAATGAAACAACGTGCCCATGTATTACATAAGCTACTTCGAGGTTTTGTCCAAAGGTATGAAACTTTTAATTTTATTAATCGAATTTTATATTAATTATAATTTATTCTTGACCCTTTAGACGTAGTCACTCAATTCTCACCAAATCTTTACCAAGAAAACATGAACATGTAATTCTTGTTCGGATGACTCCAATTCAACAAGAATTGATGCTTGCCTTTCTTGAACGAATTAAATCTGATAAAGACAATGCTCATCGACTTAATCCAATTATGCTCTTCTCAGTATTTTGTAAGGTAAGGGTTATCGATAATGTCCTTTTTGTTCAATCTTGAATTGTTTCATTAGATTAATTGTTTTATTTTGTGTTTATTAATTTTGTAGGTTTGGAATCATCCTGATATATTGTATAAAATTGTTAAAGAAGGTCAAAATTTTGACGATCTTGACATTGATCTCGGAGGAGAGAAAACAAAAGCAGTTAAAAAAGCCCCAAATAAGAAGAAAGGAAAAGCCGTTAAGACCAATAAACGAGCTAGTAAAAATTTGCCAATAAATTATAGTGATGATGAAGATGATTCGAGTTCCGTTAGCAAAGAAAAGCCCAAAAATGTAGGAAATAAAAATGGTTCAGCGTTCCAGGCATCCGATGTGTTCACCTCAGCCAGCAATGATTATCTCGAAGGTATTAACGGTGGATCCAAAAACCCATCATTCACTGTTTATAGAACATCCAACAACTCTGTTAACAATCAATCTCGCTCTTCAAACTCATATCAACAAAATCTTAGCTCTAATTCCAACTCCAATTCAACATTTTTCAATTCATTTTCCTCTAAAAATACTAACAACTATAGTAACAACAGTAGTCTGTCATCCTTAAATAATAATGGTAGCAATCTAGCTCCCGATCCCACTAACAATATAAATCCAAAATCTGAAGACATTGAGGGTTCTGACAGTAACCATACTTATAATTTAAAACAACCCTGTAGTAGTAATAGTAACTCATATAGTAATTTCCAATCAAATGATTGGGGTGGTACTCAAGATATTTCTTCCCTAATAGGTGACTATACAAATCAATTGGATGGCCCATCATCATCATCTGTAACTGTTCCCTCTTTACCTGGTCAATATCCCAATAGAATGATGGATTACACTTGGGCCGAGCCTCTTGTCGCCAATTATAAGCCTGGACTGTTACAAAATGGCCTTAAAATGTTACTTTTTTTCGAGATGGTTGAACAAACTCTCCTCAAAGGCGATAAACTTCTGGTCTTTAGTCATTCACTATTCACATTAGATATAATTGAGAAATTTTTATCACAAAGAAAAGTTCCCAAAGTAAGAAAGGACAATGATAGTGGTTCTGATTCTGATGACGATGAGCCAGAAAAATGGTGCAAAGGAGCAAATTATTTCAGAATCGATGGTTCAACAAGTTCATCTGAGAGAGAAAAATTGATCAACACTTTCAACAAGAATAAGAATGTTCACCTTTTCTTATTATCAACTCGTGCTGGATGTTTAGGTATTAATCTTATCGGTGCCAATCGGATAATTGTCTTCGATGCCTCCTGGAATCCATGTCATGATGCTCAAGCTGCTTGTCGTATCTATCGTTATGGTCAACAAAAAGAATGCTTCATTTATCGATTAATCTGTGATGAATCGTTAGAAAAAAGAATTTACGATCGACAAATAACCAAACAAGAAGTTTCCTGTCGAGTTGTTGATGAACTTAACCCGGAAACCAATTTCACTCGCCGTGAGATAGACTCTCTAATGGAAGATCTTGATTCAATTAATTTATCCGAAGTGAAACATTATACTCAGGATGAATGCGATGCTTATGAGGATGACCTTATCCGTCACATTTGTAAAAACTTGAGCTACTGTTTGTCAAAACCTCCTTTTGAACACGAATCTCTACTATTAGATCATAAGGAATCCAAATTATCCTATGAAGAGAAAAAAGCTGCCGAGGATATGTACATGAGACAGAAACACGAAATGAGTAAATCAAGTGTTAACGGAGCTAAACACTCTAATTACCTCGCATCTATGACTGCAGCTATGACCAATACTAACAATAATACTTTTCCAAATGTACAAATAGCTGGTCCTCAAATTGATTTAGCTGGTATCAATATTCCATCTATTAGAATGATGACTCCCCAAAAACCATCTTTAGGTCGTCCCTCAAAATATCCTTCGGTGGGAATGCTTCCTCCATCAGCATTAAAACCTGGAACTTATACTCCATTCACGAATTCAGTGTGGAACAATAGTCTCGTTCAATCACGAAATCTCACTGGTCATCAATACTTTCAACAAAATCAACTTCTTCAACAGCAACAACAGCAACAACTTAATCCAATGTATCAGCATGTTCAACAAACTCCTCAGAATACAGTATATCAACAACAACCACAACCACAATCCTCACAAAATCCTTTGTACCAACAGCAGCAACAATCTTCATCGTCAAACAAAACTAATTTCACCCTGAGATTCCCACCCATATTGAGTCGTAATAGTATTATAAACCAGTACAACAATTTACCACCGGATGCTTTCGTTGAGCAGCTCGTTCGAAATGGTTACGAAGTGAAGACACTACCAAGTGATAAACAGTTGGTTATACCGCCCAGTCCAGGGCGAGATCAAATCGTAGTACCCCAAGGACAGAATATTATGTTTATTCGTAGTCCTAAGAATGAATGTTATCTTCGAACTATAGAAGGTCGAATGTTCTCTCTCAAACCAAACGAAATGAATTGTGGTGACTCGATGCCCATGCAGTCAACACCATTACCAAGTAATATGCACTCAAATGTGAGTTGAACAATTAACAATCATTATAATTTAATTTTCTAACGTTGTTCTATTTTCTCTCTCTATATATAAACAGAATTCTAGGATTGTACCCTCAACGTCCACCAGTCAACCTGAAATTATTTTTCTCGACGATGACGATTAACGAGTCATAACTTTCGTTCATTACAATCGATAAAAATTCTATTAAAATTATTATGGTAATAAGAAAATCTCGGATTCTTGTCGGCAATCAGTAAACTTTTTCTTTTGAAAACTTTTCTCAACATTAAGGAATCAATTGACTACCAAAACAGAAATTAATCACCATTGATATTTATGCGTAATTAATCACTAATTGCCTGGTTATTGATGTACATTCGTCCAGTTCATATTTTCATTGTTCAAATCGCTTTTTCCTCTTCCTTTGCATCATCCCTCTTCCAATACCTTTCTCAGGTTAATTAATCACCACAATAACGGTTAATAATGTTATGGTTGATCTATTTGATTTGCTTGATTTATTTAGATGTTATTAATTATTTTTCTCGTAAAACTATTCAATCCTTTTCCTCCCTTTACCTTTGATTTTGCTGCTTTATATATATTATATTAATATTTTCTTTCATAATTTACTTATTATTTATCTTTCTCTCTCTCTCTCTCACCTTCCTTAATTATTTTGTTCCCGAAAAACAATTAACCAGAAAAAAAACTAATGTTGTGTCAAACAAAATCAACATCAACCTAATTAATTATTCAACTTTCTCTCCTTTTTTCTACTCCTCATCATCTCTCACTCATCTATCCATCATCATCTTCATTACATTGTAATCATCATGTAAAACTGCAACAATTAAGATGTTAATTCCCTGAAAAAAAAACGAAACAAAAAAATTTATATTCAATTATAAAGAAAATTAAAAAAATTGACAATTAAACACTAAATCGTTAATTGTTATCGTACAATCGTTTATTGGATTTACACAACAAGGTAGACAATTAAATATTTTCTCACGCTAATGGTAAAAAAGGTAATCTTAATTAGCCACACCTAGAGATTACAATTTAATCACAGTTTATATCAACAATTATTACCAACGAGTCTCAATTGGTTTTCCAATAACAATCAGTTAACCGTCTCTACAATTAAATTTGCTTTATTTTCATGTCTAATCGTTTAGTTAATTCACCAAACTAATACAACTGATTAAAGTTAATTCCTTGTTGATTATGTGATTTAATTGGTTAATATTTTGCCCATGGATTAATTTAAATCAACTTTTTCATTCAATTTTCAATTCAATTAGTGATTTTTTTTTTCGGAATACAAATCAAGAAGGAAATTAATCTGTAACAATTAAAAGGTAACGTATTGAATTACTTGGTAGATTTTTTTTCCTCAACAATTAGATTACAGTTGGAAATTGAATTGATTAGGTTTAATTGTGATCTTGTTTAACTTATGGTTTAAAATGGTTTCGGAAAAACGGAAACAATTAAAAATTGATATGTTACAGTGTAAATATAATCTTTAATTACGTATTTAATTGTTAAGTTGTGCTTCAATTGTGCTCTAATTGTGAAGGATTAACAAGTTGGATTAATAGTGATTAAGGTAATTGGTTTAACTTCAATGGTCAGAAATTAATTTCAACCAGAATATTTATTTGAAATGATTGGGATTTAATGAAATCTAATTTATCAGTGATTGCTGGTTAATCATAATAAAGATGATTGATTAACTTGTTGACCTTTGATCTTGTTGATTGATTTTCATTACAATTAATTGATTTCCATGTATTGTTATCAATTGTAACGTTTATTTGTTTCCTTCATCAGCATCTTCAATCTCAATCATATTGTTAATTACAAGTGATTAATTAGTGTTACAATGATAAAGATTTTGTATTGAAACATTGATCACAATTGATTTGGTTCATTTGCAATTTACTAATTTACACAATTAAAAACTAATAGTTTTATAATCAAATGGCTCTTTCTAATTATAATCCCATAAATCATCATGTTAACAATTAGAATCAAATTTGTCTGGATAATACAAGTGATTAAAGTTGAATGTTTTTCTTATTATAACTAAATTAATAAATCACTTATCAAAACAATCAATCACTAAATTGTTATTCTTAATTGTCTCAACTTGATGTTAATTTTTTTTATCTCAAGTTGATTTAGTTCAACTGACAAAATTAACCGATTCACTTTGTTAATTGTTTCGATTCCCATAACTTAAACACTATATTAATCCAATTAGCGTCGGATTAAAATCTGATCCTTTCTGTAGTTGAACAATTAGCAATTAAACTAGAAGACTAGTTAATTGATAACAATTAAAAACAAAACAATTTAAGTTAAATATGAAACTTGAAACATAATCTTTTTAATGAACAATTAATTTTCCAATCATTTTAAATTGCACATAAAGTTAAACTAAAAAAAAAGTTAACATAAACATGATTAACAATTAAAGATCACAATTAAAATAACATCCTTATTATCTAATAATTGGATAGGAAACAAAACAAATTTGTTTTCTTTCAAACAATTTACCGTTTGATTGATTGATTTGCCAACAGAATATAACATTTACTGGAGTAATTAATTGTTCGTTGGTTTAAAACAAAATGGTGGCCACTGGCGCTTTAATTGGTCTTCTTGGTACCAAACTTAAATTTCTGGGTAAAATCAAACCAACAACAATCGACAACACGGTGTTCAAGTTACATTATCGATGGACAGTGAACATGTTACTCGTCGCTTGTGCTGTGGTCACTTCGACCCAATTTTTTGGAGATCCAATTACCTGTATAAAGAGTGAAAGTTTCATCAACTCGGCGATCATTAATAACTATTGCTGGATCGAAGGTACTTTCACCCTTCCAAGAGCATTGACCAAAGTGGCAGGAACTGAGGTCGCACTTCCCGGTATTGAAAAAACTCCCGTCGATGCAACCGACATGTTGATCCATAAATACTATCAATGGGTTTGGTGGGTTCTATTTCTTCAGGCTATGTCATTTTATGTCACTCGACTAATCTGGAAGGTGAGCTAATCCTTAATTTAATCTTCTTCTTACAAATTTCCACATATATTTTCACAATTATCTTAATTTTTTGCCGTAATTTTGATAATCAACGTGATTAACATTCACCAACACGTGTTGATACCCCTGTCATGTTCATCAGTTAATTGTTTACATCTCTTATAAAATGATTAACCATTTCATTTATTATAATCCTATGGGTTTTCAAAGTATATCAACTTTATTCAGTTCAGATTAGATTATCTTTTCAGGATGAATGTTGATTAAGGTGGATCAAGATTTTCCTTTGGATAATCTTCACTTGGGTCTTGCCTTTATAAAATTAGAAATTCTTACGATTTCAATTTTTTTCTTCGTGTTTATTATTTTGATTTGATTTCGAATTTTTTTCTTCTAATTCTCTATTCTTTTTTTTGTTTCTTTGATAGTCCTGGGAGAACGGGATTGTGGCCCGTTTGATCAATAATCTAAATCAAACTATTCTACAAGAGAGTAAAAAGAAAGAGCATTCAAGTTTCTTGGTCGATTTTCTGTCATCTCGAAGAGGAACCTTTGACCATTACGCTAAAAAGTTTCTCTTTTGTGAGATTCTAAATCTCACCCATGTGATTGTTCAGATCATTATAACGGACACATTTTTGGGCGGTAATTTCCTCGATTATGGTGCCCTAGTATTGGCCTATTCTGGTGATCCAGAGGAGACCAATCCAATGACCAAAGTTTTCCCGAAAATGACCAAATGTACCTTTCGTGTTTACGGTTCTTCAGGAGATATTCAAATATATGATAACTTTTGTCTTCTCCCGTTGAATATTATCAATGAGAAAATTTATCTTTTCCTTTGGATTTGGTTCATATTTTTGGCCGCAGTTTCCGCTCTATCGGTGATCCATCGAATTGTTTCCTTCGTCTATCCTCCCTGTCGACATCGTTTACTTCAAATGATCAGTCGTCGGGCGAAACCTGAGGCACATTCAACTCTAATCGAATCACTTAATTATGGTGATTGGTTCCTTCTTTATCTAATTGGTCAGAATGTTGAACAATCACATTTCGCCGAAGTCCTCGAATTGTTTGCTCTACAATTAGATGAAGCAACATTACCAAAGGCCAAGAAAATATCAGAATCATCAATTTAATCTAAACGTTGAAACAATTTAAACGATCGTACAACAATCAGCTAACATGACAAATCAACGCGAATCAGTGACAATATAAAAGCTCAACTATAATCAACCAATTACAATTTTAACTTAATTTCAAATAATCAGCTACGATTGTACAATTATCACTAATCAATGACATTTCATTTACATATAAAATCATATTTTATCAATTTTCACATAGTTAAAACCCAATTGTAACAATTAATTTGTCTGTTCATTGTTAATTCAATCTTGTTGTCAACAAAAACACACAACACTAACTAAATTAATTCACACAATCAATGGGAAACATTTAAATCACTAAACAGTATCAAAGGAAAAACAAATGATGAAATCTGTTCAAATTTTAATCAACTATTGATCTTTAATTAGGTTGATTAAACAAAGAAACAACATTATTATTATCAAGTTAACTTTATGAACAATTTAAATTCTGTCCATTTTTCTGGTGTATTTTCAATGATCTAATAAATGATCAACAATGAGCTTGAAAAAGTTAATTTCATTGTCCAAGAAAATTCTGAGAGAAATCAAATTATGAGTAATAAAAGGATTTCTAATAAAAATATCGTTCAAATTCATCATGTTTCTTTCTGGCTAACTCTTGAATCTCTTGAAAAGTAACAATGAACTCTCATAGAGGGAACCATTTGATTCAATTTTATTTTCTTGATTACTGTTTAGCGTTACATGTACGTTGAATTAAGAGTAATTTATTAATGAAATTATAGAATGAGATTGCAATTAAATCACAAACAATCTAGTAGATTCTTGATAACCTTACATCAAGAAATAGAGAAAAAGTTGAACAATTTTCGTGACAACATGTTGATTTAATTACGATGATAAGTTTAATAAAAAAAAGATTAAATTTATTTAGTAATGAGTTGATTACGTGTGGTAATTGTTGATTAAAAACACTCACACACACATATACAATCAATTATCATTAATAATAGATTAACTTAAACAATTAAACCTCAAGGGATATTTAGATGAATCTAATCAGCTGAATAATGATAAAATATTATAATAGTTACAATTTCAATTTGTAATAATAAAAATTTTCCCTACGAAATTAATAAAAGCGGAAATAGTTTTTCCCTCCAAATCCTCGGACACAATTTCAACCAGGAAACTGAATTTAATTCCCGGTGAATAACTTGAGAAGATAATATAATATCTTATGAAGATGATGATGATTCCAACCAATACCCTCCCCATGGTGGTATAGGTTGTGCTCAAGTCAAGAGCAAAATGTTCAAAAGCTCAAGAGCAAAAGTAAGAATCGAGTCGAGGAGGGAAAAGTTCAGTTCAGTTCATGATATCGTAGAGATAAAGTCATTTGGGAAGAGAGAAAAAAAATAATCTAAAGTTTTTCCATCTTCCCGTAACCATAATTATCATCACAAATCATCAGATGAATCAACTTGACAAGAATTAAATTCTAATCAAGTGAATTAAAAAAAGTGATTAACTGATTGTTTACCATCAAAATACAATATCAATGGTCAACAAATTGACCATAACCAATTGATTAAGGTTAACCTTTGCTAAGTGACACAACAATCAACAAATTATGGATTAAATTGTTTACATGAAAAAATGATCAACCAAAACTTATGATAATGATCAATGTTAATCAAGTTAAATAGCAACATGAGATGCTTAATTGTTTGGATATTATTGATTCTGTGTTTACCAATTAAACTTTCATCATCGATAGATAATCAAAGATCACGATCATCATCATCATCATCATCTCAACCATTTAGTTATCACAATCAATGGTCATCATCATCAATCAACAACAATTTAAAACTTTTCAGATCAAGTAAGTTATGATTTCAAGAGAAACGTTAATTGATTGTAATCAAGTTAATTGGGATTGAGAAAAATGTTACCATTAACTTTTACCACTACAATCAAATTATTAGCAATATTTTTATCTGAATGGGTAATTTGATTCGATAAGAATTTCAGAAAAATTCATTCTCAAACTTTTATTCATTTCCATGGGTAACATTTGGTGAACCCATTTGTTATCATAACGATTTAATCATTCAGCAATTTAATCAGCTATTAACTTCCCAACCTCTCAAACCTCATTCCTCTGATTGAACAACATTATTAATCAGTTGAATTTTGAAATTACAGAGTTATCACCACGATTAGTTATCATCTTCATGATAGAACTCAACTTATCTGTTATTGATTGTTTCTCAAGAAAAGATATTGATTCATGGTGATGATACAGAATGAAAAATCATTCATTTCATGATGATGAGAGAAAAATCCTCCTCTCATGAGCAAAAAGATTCACCATGAACCAAGAATATATTATCTCCTATGGAATTAAATTTGATGGAAATTGAGAAATATTTTCCTTCAGAATCAGATCAATTAGTTATAATGAACTTTTCGTAAGTTTATCCATACAAAAATAGATATATTTCTTCAGAACTTTGCTATTTTTTTTCTCTCTCAAGATGAATTCCCATTATTCTCTATCAATGTAAACTGAGAAATCATCTTGGAACTTTTTTTTCTGCTCACTTATCCTTTCTGAACACAATATTGAGCAACAATATTGAATATTAAATGCTAATATATAAAGTACAGGGTGTTGTCAGAGTAACATGATAATTCTGAGCTGTTTCCCTTTGAATATCCTTCTTTATTTTTGTCAATTTGTCTTCCAGTCTCTTTTTATTTCATATCTTTTTTTATATCATCTTTCCCTTTAAAGTTCACAATTGACTTGAAATATAATATGTATATCATGATGATCATCATGAAACTTTATTCATGATAATAATCATTCATACACTTAATATATACTTGATATCAAATGTGAATTTAAATGTGTCTCTTATCATGAATCAAATTTTTTCTCATGCTGAAAACAAAGAAGTTACTGAACATTTTTTCATTGGTATTTCTATGATTCCATATTATCATGATAATCTTCAGGATTTATCATTGTGTTCGGTGGTGATGTTTTGTTTTCTCTGGGATTGTTCAAATTAACTGTAGATACTTTTGATTAGAATTTCAATTTTCTTTCTATTACTTTAGGTAATACATTAGATCGACATGGATCGACCTTCGTCAGGTCACCTCCACCTTATGTGGACTTTTTAAATTCAACCGGAACTGTGATTCCGTGCTCAGCAAGTGGCCTTCCTATTCCAACGATAACCTGGTACAAAGATGATGGTTCATCCCTGATCGATATTCCAAATCTTCGACAGGTATCACCTGATGGTTCTCTTGTTTTTTTACCTTTCACCGCATCAAAATATCGAGGTGATGTCCACTCGACAACCTACAAATGTACAGCATCAAATACTCTCGGAACGATTGAATCTAATCCAGTTCGGGTTAAAGCAGGTAATTATCACTTTTATAAAGAAAATTAATCAGAATTGTTTTCAAATTCACCAATTTCAAACAAAGATATTAACTCTTTCAACCTTTTTGATTAAGAAAAAGAGTAAAAAATTGATGTTATTGGTCAAATTGATCGATTGGTCAATACTGGTCAATATGGTCAGTAATCATACTTGAGAATGACCAATCTAAGATAACAATGAATGTAATCTGATGATGGTGAGAGTCTTTTTTTTCATGATGATGATTTACCAATGAAACTTATCATGAAATGATATCAGTAATCTCATAGATAATCAATTGATTTAATCATATAATCATTTTTATTATCTCGATTATAAACATTTCTCATTCAACTACTCAAGTTACTGATTGACCTCTCATCTTTAGTCATCCTCATTTCAGTCAAGGTCAGAAAAAGTTCAATTTCATGAAGATAACCATTATTATCATATGACCGGTGGACATTTCGTTTAAAATTTTGTTATCCTAAATCTTCAATGAATCTAATAAGTTTAGATGGAGTAATACTCAAAGCTTGACCATCCCACTGACCAAAAGATGGGGGATTATGTACATTGAATCAATCAATGAACCCAGAATAATAATACATTGAAACTATTCTGAAGCATCAGCAGACACCATGATAATGATATTAGGTTAACCTATGGAGTTAAGAAAGAAGAGAAAAAAAGGAGAAAAAAAAAATTCGAAAGAAAAGTTTTTTTTCTTTCTCTTTTCGTATCTTTTACCATTAAAATGTCATGTTCCCCTGAATTCTGAGTTTATCCTCAAAGGAGGTTTGATCATGTTTATCATGTATCATCATCATTTTCCTCATGATACACTTGATACTCTTGTAAGTAAGATAATTGAGTAAAAACTGGTTAATTTAATAACCAATGTTGATAACCAATAAATTGAATGTACATGTTATTGTAGCAATTGAGTAACAATCAGTCAAAGAATCAGAATATCAATGAAATCAATAGTTAATACCATCATGATATTAGAATTGAGTTCACACTGAAACACTGAACAGTAACTGAGCTTTCATGAATTCATCTGAATCATCAACTAAAATCACAATTTAACTTTAATCGCAACTTTCTAATCACAATCAATCAATCAGCTGAACTTTAATTTCTTGTGGCACAATTTTTCCCACCATCAAACAATAATAATATTGCAAATGAATAAAACTTCAAACTGAATTCCCAATGAAATTACCTGGAGCTTTGTTCAGGGAAAAGCTTATCAAGTTAATTGTTTACCAATCATGTTAACCAATTGTTTCAAAATTTGCTCCTCAGTTAATCAAAATAATCATCATGATGAATATTCAATTATGAAATGAATGATGAAACAAAAGGAGAAGAAAAAAAAGAAAAATTCTAAAACAAAATTTGTAATAGATTTTACCAAAATTCTAACCCTGGTGGATTATTCACCTTACGGGGATATTTTCATTCAGAACGAAACAATAACAGATTAGATGAAGACTCCTTAGCATTCACCATGAACTTATATTTATAACAATCTAAGACATTGAATGTAAATTGATGACAAACAACAAGAGAAGAAAAAAAATATTGATAAACATTAACCCTGAGGGGATTTTTTTATCATAGTTTCAATACCCAATGAAAATGTCTTTCAATGTGTTTCCTTTGTGAATTTTTATCAAGACCTCATTTGTATTGTTACATAAGCATATTATCATTGCCTCAGCATTGAACACCTTCAAGCCTAATAGTTTACAGTTAATGATGAATGTTTAACCATTAGAGAATTCATATTTTCTGTACAGAATTTTCATATTTACATGATAGGGAATGATGGTAACATTTTACTTGAAATATTTTCTTTACACTTTTCTTTTCACTCTATGGTTATTTTTACAGAATTCTCATCATGTTTATGATGATTTTCAATAATCGGTGAGTTTTCTTATTCTTAGTTTAGATTGACTTTTATAATGATACTTTTGTTTGGTTGTTTGTGATTAGATTATATCAGGAAATAAATCTGAAATACCTTTTATTTACTTCAGTCAGGGTATTCATGGGTATCCCGATGCAAATCACTGGGAAAATATCATAGTCAATGTCATCAGAAGTATATTATTGACTGAACTTATACAACTGAGTCAACATTTAAGTAACAATTCAATTGTATCGGTTTATGTTTCCATGTTTAGAGTATGATAATGAATTCTGAATACAATTCCAAGTAAAATGTTTCAAAATCAGTTCCTCTTGGAGTCGAGCCCATTGAATTTCATCTCTAAGATAAGCAAGAAAAAAAAGAGATTCAATCATAAAATACCAAAGAGTATCTCATTGAGATCGAAACGGAACAAATAAAAGTGACCTCAAGACGCTAACAAAACACTCAATACGATTTGTACTAATCGTGTGTTAAAAATCAGAAAATGAATGTTGAAAGTTTTTTTGATAAATCGAAAATTGCATTTCATAAAGTTCTGGGTGAAAAATAGGCAAGAATAAAAAAATTACCACCGACCAAACTCAGATAAGGTCAGAATTAAGTTCCCTGGACCCATAGATGTTTGTTTAATGAACCATATTTGAACGTGTATTTGGCTGGACAATAATAAAACAACAATGTTAATGATATTATGAGAAGGACAGAAAACATTTCCCTTGTAATAATAATACAGAGAGAGAGAGAGTCAAAATGTTACGATTAACAGTTAAGATTCAATGAAACGGAAGACTCAGAACTGGGAAACGAAAGCTAGAATATAAAACAATAAACAATAATATTACCTTGATAACAAATAGAAGGAGAGGAAAAAAACATTCTTCTTGACAGAATTTAAGAAATCTCTTTTCTCTCAAAGATGGAAATACTTATTTCACTTTCATGTTGGAATTGAATTGAACAAAAGAATAATTTTTTCTCTTGTCCATCTTAATACTGGTCCACCCTCTATTATATAAACTAATCGAGTATGAAATTATATTGTTCTGTGTGTGGTGATGATGGATATTCATCAACAACATTTACCTTGATCATAAAAGTGTCACAATGAGAAAAAATCTATTAAAAAGAGATATAAAATATTTCCCATTTGGATGATTTGCTTTTATTGTTTCTTAATTGTCAACATTATCTAATCATTTTAATCATAATTAACAGTTGAATACATTATTAGTATTATCTAAACTCATCCAATTATCAACTTCAAATGAATATGATATTATTTATATGGGAAAACATGAAACCTCCCTGGGTATTGGTTGAGTGTATATTTTGACTCAGCTTAACAATTAAGATAATTATCATGATGATAACAGAAAAAAAATAATGATAATTAGTTGGTGGTAAGAGAACAGCAAAAAATGATGATGATTAAGTAAATGGTTAATCAGAGATGAGATAATTAGCCAAACACCAACAGTAACTATCTCACCTTTTTAATTGTTTCCTTAGTTGAACCATCCCAATTAATCATTAACATAACCATTATTATTTACTTGATACATTAACCCAATACTTTAGTTAACAATTAACAATTTCTCAAGTTAATCTAGGAATGGATTTGATTATCTAAAGGAAATTAAATGACAACTTAAATGGGAAAAAGGAAATTATCATTTTCCCTTTACTAATAAACCACTTTGAGATTGGACTTTTTTTCCTCCGGTGTTGATATTAAGTTGAAATTGATGTTCTCTGGTTAAATAGACAAGGATGATGACGATTATCATCATAATCATCAACTGACAACTTGATTTACTTGTTATTGTTATTGTTGTTTGGTTGATTTTACCTGAGTGATAAAAAAAATAGCAACAAACATGAGACCAACATGAAAATAAATGAACGATGAAAACAACTGAACAAAATGTTGTTCATCTTAATCAAGGCAAGAATAATTTTCTGTCATCTATCCAATTCCCTCTCATCTCTATCACTTTATGTATCCTAATATCTTGACCTGAACATGATAATATATCCAAATATTATACAAGATTAAGGTGATAATCATGTTACCTTTTTTTATCGAGTAAACAATTTTTTCCTCATCCTCTTTTCCAGTGGTTACATGAGGCAAACTTGACTAATCCATTTACACAAATTAGCATATAAAATGAACAGCTCATCATTAAAGTTAATCCATTATCCTTAATCCCAAATGATAATGTTGATCGTGAAGACTAAATAAGTTAATCTCTTTGAGTTTTAATCATCACCCAATGAAATTTTAAGTCTGAATTTTTGATTCTGATTGATGATAAGTTGACGATTATAAAAGGAAATTTAGAACAAACAAAATCGTAGAGAGAATAAAAAAAAAGTTCTAAATGTTGATTTTTCTTACTTTTTTTCTAATACTCACTTACAGTTCCGTGGGAAGAAGCAGAAAAAAATATCACATCGATTATTTCAATTCCGTCAATTCATATATACCCTTAGGGGAATTAGATTTTGAAACTTTTCCCATTGCAACTAAATCCCATTTAATTTAAATACCATTACTATTTCATTAATGATACGATTATATCACAACCATGTTGATTTCATGATGAAAAACAGAATCAATATAATCACCATCATCATTGATGATATTATATTTATATATTTAACTGAATATATCAACATGAATTCATTGATTCAGAATGAAAAAAAAAGCTTTCAGGATAAAAAAAGATTCTGATTTAAGCAAACATATTGGTAAACTTTAAATGTTACATATTTTTTCAATATTTTACCTGGAAAAAAATACCTGTCATCACTTTGGACTTATATCTTTCATGATCATCATGCATCGTGTATGAGATGAACAAACTGTTTGGGAAAAAAGATTCAATGTTTGCAAACATAAAAAATATTCAATCTACTCATGAGATTTTACCTGAAATCTCAGGTAGATCCTGATAACAAGGTTATAAAATAAATAAGCTACAAGACACTTGGGAATATCTATAAATGATATCAAGATAATTCAACAATAAGATAATCCATCAATC